TTTGATCACTTGACAAATTTCTAAACGGGACTGGCTTAATTTGAGAAAAGCGTTTTGGTTTGACTTTCGAGTAACATTTCCGCTTGAGGTAAAATCGTTCACCAGATTCATCTTCTTCACAATGATAACAAAAACACGCAAACTTTGATAAGTGTTGATTCCATTTTTTCAGGCAGTTTTTACAGTCCTTCGGTTCAAAATAGCTCACAGCCAATGAAACCTAAAGTTTCTTATTTTCAAGTTTCGCAACCGCACAATACTCACCTTCTAAAGGACAAAAAAGGTAATTATCACCTATAACAACAGTTTTCCATTTACATTTCGCGACAGTCAATTCATAAAAGGGCCGGATAAAAGTTTCTGCCCATTTCATATTTTCTAAAATTTCGTGAATACAACTACTTAAAGTAGCAACGAATGTTCGCTCTTGAATTTCGATATGAAATGGAACACTGTAAACATGAATTTTTAAGCTCTCTTTTTGACAATCCAGAGATTGTTGCAATTTTTCTTCAAATCTATTGAATTTTTCAACCAAAACCCCATCTGAAGTTTGAAGATTTTCCCGCAGTGAAAGAACCAAAGAGTAACTTTCATTCATTAATTCAGCAAGCTTTGCCACTTTTGCAACTGCTGACAAACTTATTTTATCAAAATTGTTGTCAATTCTTCCAAATTCAGTTCATATTGTTCTGACTTTAACAAATTTCTCACATATTTGCCAATAATTCCGACAAGAATATCAACTGTTCGGCTTCCATTGAACTCTTCAGAGCACTTATTACGTTCTTTTACCGCGTTCTGTAGTATCATTTGCTGAAATTTCGTATCTTTACTCAGAAGTTCAAACTTTCCCAGATACTCAAACAATTTGCTTCTATTTTCTTTCCCTTTTTCGGCAACCGTGATAACATTATGGTTCAAATGAGCCAAAAGACACTTGTTGCACAAAATAAGCGTACACGTTTTGCAAAATAAGTCGTTAATAATCTTGTGTTTATCACAAACTGATACAGTATAGCCTCTGTGGTCCAATACATTATGCCCGCGACGAACGTGCGAAGATATGCATGCATCGCAAAACTTTTTGATGGTGTCACTAGACTCATTACAAGTGGAACAAGCCAAAAATTCCTCCGAGCTTGCTTCAAGTTCACAATTTGAGCACTTTGATTCAAATAAAAACGTATTTTCAGTAGAAGTCGTGCTTCCGTGATCCAAATCTTCAGGTGAGTTCATTTCCATTCAACTAACTGAACCTTAATAAAAGCGCATGCAACAACACTGAGGCGAATTTCAATTCGCAAACAAGCAAAAATGACAATATTTTTGAACCGTTTGACTATAAAAATATGAGCAAATGCTTAAAATTCTGAGCTAAGGTTTAAATAAAAACTTCAAGCTTTAAAATGCAGACCAACGAAAACATTTCTACTGGTGGTCAGGTCTATTGGAGGTCGGTTCTGTTAGTAGCAGGGGCGCATTCGATGAAGTCAAAAGTTTCCAAAAAATTCCAAAAAACGGAATTTTGACCAAATTTTTCATATTTATGATTGCGGCGAAGAAATTTTGTCAGAATAGGGTCTTCAGGGTTCTGAGAGGGCGCGGAAAATCAATTGGTCGACCTTGAAAAAAATTTTCAACATTTTTTGAAATTTCACTCACATGAGATTTAAAAAATGGCCTGAAAAATACGATGACTGATAGCCCAGGACATACAATTTTGACCATAGTGACATTGCAAAAAAATTCTATGTAAAAACGAACGGATAAAAATTCTTGAAGTTTACCTTTTATTTTCGAAGGCGCTACTTTCATCTTCACGAGCTAGTCATTCATAGCTTTATTCTCAAAATAATTTAAAATCGCTTTTCCGAGTTGATTGTTCGGCAAGAACAGTAATTTGGTTTGAAACAAATTAAAACACAGACCATTTTTTCACAGAACTGATAAAAAATTTAACAAAATTGGTTATTGCCGCACACATCAAGACCGGTTGTATGTCAACTTTAAGTTAGACAATCATATATCTAACCTGAATTTTGGCATATAACTTCAGCAACGACTCTAAACACAGCGTTTTTGACTATATGCTATAATCGGAAGAACAATTGGTTGCTGTTTGATAGGAAAAAGGTTCTATGAATATCTCATTTTTTCAATTTTATTTTAATCGTTTTTAAGAAGAAAAAAGAGAGCACCTAGTTTCTAATTGTTTAATCAACGAGCTATGAAAGAGCAAGCCAAGCTCAGACTGTAGCCTAGTTTCTAAATGTTTAACCGACGAATTCAAAGAGAGCAAAGCAAACTCAGATTGAAACCTTGTGTCTAACTGTTTATTCAACAAACACACGCTTCCTCTGCTTTGAGATTCAAATGACATCAACTGAATTATAAAAATTTCCGACCACTTTTCTTGATACAATATAATTAAGCTTTTTAGCAAAGATTGCCCATAGAAGTGAAGCTGCGCTTCGAACACACTAGCAAGAACATTACAAAAAAACACCGACTATTCGAATGTAAAAGCACATGCTATCAAAAAGCCGTAAAGGTGCCCCAAAACTGGCACCAAAAATCGCGACTTCGGTTAGAAAAAAAAAGAATAGTCGTAGTATAACACTAACGCTCACTAAAGTCGCTAGTGTAATCAGCTAGTGACTTACAGAGCTTCCAAATGATGCCCCACTCGGACTCGTCTGACAACTATGTCTTGTACCTGATTTCTCGAGAAACAAAAAAGAACAAAACAAAAAACCAAAGTTCCTATCCACTATCTGAAATTGAGAAAAAGAATAGGTAATTGTTGTGCAAGTAGCACATACGTGTCTGATTACAACCCCTTTCGCAGACGTTTTCAAATTGTGTTCTTTCGTATTTTAGTAATGACAATATGGCGTTAATTTTATTTGAAATTTGAATCTTAAAAAAATAAAGAATCAGATTTAAAAATGAACACAGAGGCGAAACTGCACTTTGCAAACAAAAGCAAGTGTAGCTCTAAAAGGGTCAAACAGGAAAAAAGGTAAAACAATTTTTTTTTAATGTACTGATGCGAAAGTTTCCAAAGTTTCCGAAAACGTACAAAATATCAAAAAAGCCTTCCTGCTTCGACCAACTAAATTTTTCTACAACAATTAGTGAGTAGCCGCTATGAAAAAAAAGAGTCTACGACATGGCCTTTGGATTGAACTTTTTATCTCAGATTTTCCAGGATAGTTTTTGAGAAAAGTCAAAAAGTTTCAATAAACGTTCAAGCTTTCCAAATTGAACAATTTTTATGGACATAGCATTTTTTTTACAAAAAATTGAAAGTAACCGTATAAGCATTTACGAGTCCTAACACCAGAATTTGCGACTGGTTCCCTTAATTTAAGATTTGGCAAGGTAGATTTCGATTAAAAAAATTCCAAACACCGGTCAAAATTCCGAAGTTTGGAATTTATCTAAGGCCATAACTTTTTTTCTACAAAAATTAGGGCAAAAAAGTTAAAGCATGGGATCTCCTTAAAACATTCTTTTGACTGATTCATTAATCTCAGACTAGGCCAGTGTAGTTTTTGAGAGAGAAAAAAATCGAAAATGGGTAAAAATTCCCCTACTGAAAATTGCGAAGTCTGTAGAACGTCCAATGAAGTAAAAAAAAAAGACTAGAGGGGTTTACAAACTATTACGAGAGTAACAGATCTTTCTATTGGTGCCAATTTATAGAAATCGAGAGAGTAGTTCTGCAGAAACCTAATTTTTTTGCGAAAAGAGCAAAAATTTTCATAAGCGTCTCAAAAAATAATCATAAAAAACCAAATCGCATACGTTTTTCATCGTACCCATTTTTGTCACTCAGGAACTAGCCAACAAAAAACCAGATACAACGATACAACGTTACTGTGCAAGTAGCACAGAATGTTCCTACTATAGTCTTTAGAAAACTACGGTTTAGAAAATTATATTGTTGCAGACAAATTTTGAATTTTTTGAAGTTTTTGGTTCCCAAAGTTAAGCTAAAAATTCAAAAAAATATTGTTACTTGCTTGAAGTTACGTTTTAATGTCTTAAATTAGGCATAATTCAGCTGTTGTAAGCATGTTTGCTAGCTTTATTCGCTCGACTTAAGACGAAAAATCAAAAAAGTTCAAACCGGTTTTTCTCGACACTAAAAAAAATTTAGGAAAATATTAATGTGGTTCGAACCACGACTGAACGAGCTTTAATATTTTATATCACTCAACCCAGTTCGATGATTATTTGTGGTACCTGATTTTGCGTTAAAAACAAATGGAAAACAGGCGAAGTTGCACTTCGCATACAAGCAAAAATATGACCGATAACGCTACTGGGAAAAACTGAATGAGTAAAACTTTGAGTCTACAAAAATTCATAAGTTACGCACGCCAATTATGAGTTTACATAATTGCTAAGAGACGCAAGCCAATTATGACACATTAGCAGTACCAGTCAATTTGAAAAAAAAATTCACCAACTAAAATGCCTCAATGAGCCCTTTTATTTGCAATTTAGGTTGAAAAGTGGATGCCGTAATAAGACACTACGCTCCGTTGCGTAAACAGGGCTAGTATTGCCGTAGCTTTTAGTGTTACTTGGTGTTCAAAACTACTCAAATCATGCACCTCTCTGAAATTAAAATTAAAATTGAAAAAGTGCAAGAATTTTATTAGAAACTGGTAAAACTTCACGGTTATTTTAAAATACCGCTTTAATCTCGACGCTACCGGCTGGACCCCATGTGAATCTTTTTGTGAAGATGATTTCGCTTGTAAAACACCGGAATACACTCGAAATTGCAGTTGCGATAAGAACTATTTATATTAAACCCGGCTGTTCTAAACCAAAAACAATACAAAAAATTGAGTGAACACTATAAAAACTTAAACGCCCAATTTAACATCTATACAAGGATCCAGGTAATCCATACAGGACCTCGTCTTCAAGTCCTATGGGGGGTTACTAACGAAATAGAGAAAACATATGGCTATGAAAATAAATTCGTGAACCGTATAGTACATATGCTGAAGATCATAAGTATATATGCAGAAGTATATAAAGATTGATGAAGCCTTCTGCCAAAATTATTTAAACTTATGACACAAAATTTACATGATTTACAATAATTTTTTCTACTTTTTTACAACAGAAAAATAATTTTTAGATTATTGGATCTGGATGAAAACATATGCCCGTTTACACATGCATTTTGTTCTTATTTTTTTCTGCAATCAGCTGTTCTAAACGCAAAGTTGACACGTGATGATAATCTACACTGATAGATGAGAACTAACTTCGTGACCTTTCTCATTTCGATTTTTCAGTGTTGGTTGCGAGAATGATCTGGAGAATTGGAATGACCTTGACTGTGGACAGATCAGCCATGATTGCTTCTGCCGCTGCGGGTGAAGTCACGTTCATCAAATTGGCTGACCTGAAATTATGTTCTCATTTCATTTTATTTTTCATTTTTTTAAATTATTTAAATTTTCGATATAATTTCATTTTGGATCCTGCAATAATATAACGTGTTGATTGTACGCAACATAAAACACATGATACAATTCATGAAAAAAAGTCAAGAATTTTTTCGAGCCTAAAAATTACATTTCCGATTTAGTTGATCGTAAAAAGAAATCAAGGCTTCTTTTGTCGAAAAAGGAAGCTACGCGATTGTTTAAACATAGCCAACAGACAGTTGAAAAAGAAGAAATAAAAAGACGAGAAAACATAAAAAACCGACTTGTTTTTTTGATATTTAAGAGTCCGAACTACGTTGCACTAAGCTGAAAATTTCAACCAGCACCTTAGGCTCTATCACCACAAACTGTAATACTTGTCTCAATTACTGTTTTAACTTAAAATAAACAAAAACAAACAAACAAATAAACAAACAAACAAAAACCTCACCTGTACAAAAAGAGCCCCGCAGCCATAACAGCCAGAATCTCATTAGAGTCATGCGAAATCACTCTATCCCACAACACCAACAGCTGATCCGCTTCCAAGTAGCCAGAGAACGCCCGCATTAGCCACTTGAAGGCTATCTTCAAAGGGGCACTGCCGATAGATTTGAGGTGGAAAAAGAGTGAAGGGGCTAAGGACATCAGAAGGCTTTCAAAGAGAGCACTGAAACAAAAAACAGCTTTCACTTTCTATTTAATTTTTGAACAATTTTTATTTGTTACACAGGGGCGAAACTTCCCTTCGCAAACACTAGCGAGAAAACGACAGAAAAAGCTCTATCAAGAGCAATAAGAGAATTAGTTTAAAAAAAAAACCAACTAAGACTCAGATTCGATCTGCGACCTAAAGATTATGAGTCTCACGGACTAACCACCACTCAGCCACGCACGCTTAATACATCACAAACACTAGCCACAAATAAAGCAGGGAACAGATGCTATGAAATTTCCAATGCTAGACCGTGGTTACAGCAAACGAACCACCGGGTAAGTGAACACTTTCCACTTTCAATCAAGACTTTTATTTGCGAGCTAAGTTTAAAAAAAAGAAGGTTCGCACATATATAATAGCTGCTTGCTAGTGTAAAAAGGAAACAAACTACGCTCTCCAACCAAATATTGAGCACCTTTATTTGCGACTTATTTTGAAAAATTGGATATCACAATAAGACATAACACTCCGCTTTGCAGATAAACACCAATGACATTTAATTTTGTACGTTGGAAGCGCTAAATTCACCAATTGAACATTCGTTCAAAAGTGATATAACAGGTTCCCTTAAAAAATAAATATAGCCAACAGACAGTTGAAGAAGAGTCAATGAAAGCAATTAAACAAAAAAAAAACTTTTTTCATAAAATAAATTCAATTCGAGCAAATTGGATCAATTTTTTGATAAAACAAACTCAATTCGAGAAAATTGGATCATTACGTAAAGTTTTTTTATTCCGCTGGGAAACCTGTAAATTAAAATCTACTTTCAAAATTAGAAGTCGATCACGTTTTTTCCGACATTTAATCCCTTTGTTTCTATTACAGAGTGATTTTAGTTATTACGTAAATTATTGGCATGTTTAGCCGTTGAATCAGCCCTAAAACAGTGGTTGGTTATTCATTATTAGGAACCATAAGTGGGGGTTTTAAAAATCCGAAATAAATGATCTATGTGATCTATCTGTGCCTTAAATGAACTTCGATCCCTTCAATCATGAAATCACAATTGGCAGCCGAATTTTTCCAGGCTAGCCTTCAAAATTTGGAAAATGTTAAATGAAGTACCATCTACTAGGGCCGGGATGATCCACTTATATACTACAAAAGCCTATAACTTCCTTCAAATTTCAGACAACGGAGGCTAAATATTAGCTATTAAATAAATATTTGAGCAAAAAAAATCCAGAAACTATGGACTGGAACTAAGGAGAAATTTTGGTAATCGCCGATTGAATTTCAAGCGAGTAAAACTTGTCATTTTGGAATTTGTTGAAATATTTCTTTGTGAAAAGACTACTTTATCCTGTGCTGAGGAAAACAACTGTTTTCAGAAGACTCAAAATAAAACTACAACTGAGACTATTTGAGACTATCAGTTTATGGAAATAGCTAGTCAGAAATCAAAGCTCCAGACCGAATTAACGTTCTTGCTGGATCTTTTCTGCCTCTCTCGATTGGTAAAGCGACAAAACCGTAAAAAATAGAATTGTTTCACAAAAAGTCAAACAATGGAACACTTTAAGCTGTTTGGTGCAACAGCATATGTTGTTTTAATAGGTCGAGTCAGTTTTGCAAAAATTGAGAAGTATTTCCGGAAAGAAACCCACGCTACGCAATGTTTCGTTGATTACTTGATTTATGTTGCGAAAAAATTTCGCTTCTCCTATATTTCATTCTCCTTTCATTCAGTAAGGCCAAAAATTGAGATATTGAGGCTGATGAATTGGAATTTTTTTGTTCCTGAATTTACCCTTCAGATCATTTTTTGAAGTAGCTTTGTTGCGATGATTTTTTGGGACACTTTTTGGTGCGATAGTTTTGAGCCGTTTTAAGGTTCCATCACCTGAATTGCTTGTAGAAGCGAAATTTCTTCGCAACTTAGATGAAATATACAGTTCGTTTACGTAATTGGAGAACTGTTGAGATTATTGAACGTCTTAATCACGACTGGATTTCACGACTTGTTAATGCACAGCAAAAATTTCTTTTTAAAGCCCAATCAGATGATCATTTCGTCGAATTAACGTTTTATTAAGACGTTTAACGAAAATATTAAGACACAAATTAAAATTATGTCGCAGAAAAATATGTGACCGTGATGCTGGAAACGTATGCCACGCCGATTCAAGGCTCTAAAGAGCAAATAAATTAAGATTTTTGGTTAATTTATTTTGCCCTCGAAGTTCAGCTCTGAAAAAGCAGTATTTTATCTACGGTTGATCCGATGATGAATGCACGTATTAATCAGATTTGAAAACCAAACAATGGAAACAAGTCCAGAAATTTAAAGTTTTCCAGGACAAGTTTTGTTAACAAATTGTGATTACAATTTCAACTAAACTACAACTGAAAAAAGTACATTTCAAGAACGAATTTAACAACTCATAGGCAAAACTCACAGTAAAAGAGAAGCGAAAATAAAGATCGATGGTAAGCTCGAGGCTCATGCTTTTTTGTTGCTTACCCCATTACAATTCGGGTTTTTTTACCGACGGACCACACAAGTGAAATATTAAGTACAAAATTGGAACCGAACAAACAGCAAACATAGTTAGAATATTACGTAAAACTAATCATGGGTCATGTAACATTCTTTTTTGTTACGTAACTTAAAAATATATAACTTTAAAAAAAATTAAAAACGAAAAAAATTAAAAACGAAATTAGGGAGGCATTGCGGTGTTGTTTCAAAAATGAGGCATTACGTTCCGAAATGTGTTTTACTGAAATACTATAACGCTACAAAATAAGCCTATAAAACAGTATGGCTTGATTGCGTACGGTGGTACTAATTTTAAAGTTTTGAATCAAATTCTAATGTATCAGTGGAAACTAGTCCGAGTGCTATTATGCAAAAGAAAATTAGACACTATAACAAAAACTTTTTTGATGATTAAAACTTGAGAGTTCAAGAACTATATGTTTATGATCTACTGAAGTTTTGTCTGAGGCCTTGAAATGGTAGAAACCCGAAAGTCTATCTAAATTCTTTGTTTTCTTTCAAAACATTCGTTTATAAAACCAGGAATGCAGGCTAATTAACCTATTCCCCTCATTTTGCAAAAACAAAATTAATTTGTACTTATTAGCTAATAGAGATTCAAGATTGCTTATTATGTTGAGCGGAAATATTTTTCTGCCTATTAACATAGGCAAAATGACAAAAAAAATGATGAACTTATAATTGTCCACAAATTTAGAGACGATTACATCCTCGGTAATAATGAGTTAGTACATAGTGTAAAAAACTGACTTGTTCAAAAATCGGTGCTTAATCTGGGTGCTACCAGAGAGCCATCTGAGGCTCGGCTTCTGACTCAGATATATGAGCTAGTGTTCGAGAAAACGCCATTTTTGTAGAAAAAAAAATTGAAAATTTCAAATTACTACTTAAATAATGATCTATATTTACACGTTGACGTTTTATGTCTGAGTTCGTTTATACCGGGTAGACATTCAGTGGGCATCTTTTTTGCCCTAAGTCTATGCTCTTCAGACAATACGTACATTTACCAAAATTTAATAGCTTAATTTGTTTAATTCTTTTGTAATAATATATTTGTGTCTGAAGAAATATTTTTTTTTTCTTTCTTTCATATTTATAATTGAAATTTATACCACTGAAAACACATATTATATTACACTAAAAATGAATTAGCATGATGATAATTACACCTACCTGACGGCCAAGATTCCTTTCGGGTTTGAGCTCAAGCAGTGAAGATGGCAGAAAAATCTGACGTACAGTTCTCGAAACACAAAATACAGCTTGACCGGATCCGCGTATATAAAACACAGAGGCGCCACGTACATTGAAAACCCGTGAAAGGGTATAACCCCGCTTGGGGGATAGACTACACAGTAATTTTCGTTTCCGATTTTGCCTCTTAAGTAGGCTTTGAGGGGGTTTGCCATCATGCAGTTGCGCCATTTAAGAACTGAAGTGTCGCGAACGAAGATTAGAAGGACCTAGAACAAAAAGGTATTTCATTTATTGCACCATCAATCACATAAATAATTTTACAAAGAGAAGCTGCATTTCGCAAACTCTAGCGAGGAAAATGCAAAAAGATCTCTAAACAGGCAGAACAAAGTGAAATTAAGAAAAGCTTAAAAAACACCTTGAGGAACTTTTTTTTCAAGACTTGGGAGTAACACGTTCTCACATCTACTTCATGACCGCTTGGTATTTTACTAACACTAGCCACCAATAAAGTAGCTGCAGTTTCGATCAAATTTCCAATGCGATGCAGGAAAAACTCCAAAAATGATGCAGGACAAAAAACTGTAACTATTCCAATGTTCCGGACTTGGATCTCCTACCGGCTGATTAGGATTTTCACTTCCCGGGAATCGCGCCACGGACGCTTGTGAGGGAATCTAGTTGCCCAGCTTATGCTAGATTCGCATGTTTTAATATTTTGATCATATTTTGTACTGATACCAAAATGCGTAATTTTGAAAATTTCAAAAATGGACTTGACGCAGAACCCTAGTGATTTTTCTGCTTAAGTAGTGGATTAGCTGCAAATTTAAAGAAAAAACTACAAATCGATCTTTCAACTGAATTCTTTATCTCAGATTTGGCTGGGTACCTTTCGAAAAAAAAATTGAAAAAGATTCCAAAAAACTATCAAAAACTGAAAAAGTTGGCTATTCCTAAATTCACAAAAATTTCTCTACTAAAGCATGGGAATAGTCTCGTATGCAGGAAAGATTTCCACACCCTGATTTTTAGATTAAACCCCTAATATCGGCTTTAGCTAGTAGCTTTCGAGAATTAAGATAGAATTTCTTTTAAAAAACTTGCAAAAACTACAAAAAATGGATTTTTCCGATGTCCATATCGGCTTTTCTACAAAACAAATAAGGCAAAACAGATTACACAGGAAAAAATCTAAGCACGATGTTAGTTTCAATGAATTATCAACCTCAGAATCATCAGGTTGGTTTTTGAAGAAAAAAGAAGTTTCCTAAAAAACGGGCAAAGTTTCGAAAATTGTACATTTTCTAAGGCCATATTTTTTCAAAACGCAGGGCATAGCCGCTTGCGCAGAGAAGATTCACACACCACGTTTTTTTCTTTCGGTTGAACGCTTATTCTCTGATTTAACAGGGTAGTTTTTGAGAAAAGCCAAAAAAAATTTAAAAACATTCACCAAAGTGTCAAAAAATTGGGCTTGTTTGAGGACATAACTTTTTTCCTCCAAATTTAGGGAAAAGCCACTTGTGAAGGAGAGATCCCAATGATTAGTTCTTTAGTGTAAACTTTCATCTCAGATTTATGCATTTATTATTTGAAAAAATGAACAATTTCAAAATCAAAAGAGTCAAAAATCCCCTACTGAAACTTTCGAAAGCCGCAGAACGTGGTGTAAACTGAAAAGAGACTTGCAAAAAAAGCAGGCACATAAAATAGCAGCCAGTTTTTCCAATGACGCCATTGTTTTGAAAGCTGGTTCAGTAATTTTTGAGAAAAAAATTAAATTTTTTTGCGAAAAGTTCAATTACTTTTCAAAGGGTTGCAAAAAAAACTAAAATTAACAAATCCCATACAGTTTCATAACACCTGTTGTTTTCAAACAGGACCTAAGACCAGCTAAAAATAAACCAGCACTATATGTTATTAAATTACCTATGCTTAATTACGCTTAAATATGATGAAATTGAAATATAACAAAAGTGCCACTAATGAGCACTTTTATTTGCGACTTAGGTTGGAAAAAAAAATGTTCGTAATAATACACTTCGCTCGCGGGTGTAATAATAATCAATGAGTTTTGAAAATTCACAAAAACACAAAATTTGCCAGTATTAACTTGGAATGCACATTGGCGGATCAGAGCTTTCTTTGAAATAAATAGTTTAACAAGAACAACTTGACCAGTTTTAAGTATCACAATCACCAGATTTAAGCATTATTGAGAGAATACGGCTCTATTGTAGCTAAAATTGAACTATTTCATTGGCTCGAGACTCTAGTCAGCAAATAATTGAAATTTCCCAGTGACTTCTGCAGTTTCCCCGAGAAGACATGGAACAACTACACGATAGTCTTCCGTTATGAGCAAGCAAAGTCGAAAAAAGACCACATTACAAAGTATAAATTCCTTGTAAATTTTGTCGGAAAACGACTAAATACCGAACTTTTTGAACGTTTTTTCTTTCTAAACGTTACTATGATTGCTCTGTTTAATTTGCATCTTCTCTGTACGGTGACTTGCTCAGCCATTAGTCCTTAACTAATGGGCATTCGTAATTTTATTTTACTTTTCAACAAAACCTTTTCATTTCGTATAAATCTGATTCCTCGTATAATCGTAGAATCTTTATCGTAATACGGGATAATTTTTTTGCATATCGTATAACGTCTACAAAGAACTAATCCATATGCTTCAGTATTAATGAGCTTACCTGATACAGATAATCTTCGAAGACGAAAAAGAAATCATCATTGACTGAAGTGAGTTTGATATCTTTGAAGATGATGTTGTCAATCATGAGGTCATGTTGGATCACTTCGTTTTTCATCTGGGAGTAGTACAGTCTGTCTATTTCGTCCACTCTAACTCCCAGAATCTTCTCCCACATAACCGCTCTGAACTATCAATTTCTAGTAACTTTTCCAAACTGTTGACATCTTAAAGCTGTTGGCAAGGCGAAGATTTTTACTATTTTATGAACTCCGTGATATTGACGGAAAACTATCATTTAAACTGATTGGAAATATTCGGAGCGAACTAAACGACACGAAACTTTTTGGGATATTTATCATTTGTTTTAGAAAATGAAAACAATTTCAAACGAAAATTATGTTTCGAAAAAGATTAGTCTGTTTTAAAGACACAAAAACTGAACGAGCAAAGACGAAGCATCTCAGACGACAGGTCGGAGGCTCCCACCATGATGCGCGCTCATAGACTGCTGGCGAGGCAACAATTATCATTCCAAAATTAACACAAAGGCAAAGCTGCAACTTCGCAAACACCTGCGAGAAAGTGGCAAAGGTTCAGGAGCTTTACATACACAAAAATAGAAGTTTTTCATGCAATAATTTGGAATGCATCGATCGCCCCCCCCCCCCCCCGTGGGTACGCTTCTGCAACTGACCTTTGCCCGACTGGGTTTCCTCTTCTGGCGGCCACTTCGCAGACTGCACTGAGACCCTGTTTGGCCACCCTCCTCACCCCAGCATCCCTCTCCACTGCAAAGTGACTTGACTGGTACCTGACAAATACACACATACACATTGGCAACAGGAATAAAGTAGTACCAAAGCAAAGTATGAAGAACCAAATTCATCGTCGTGACCCATTAAACGGCCCGAAATAATGCTTACATAAATAATCTCATGAAAAATTAAATGCAGCATCGTAGTTATTGATTGGACTTCAAGCAATGATGTTTATGAATTCTTTTTTTTTGATAGATTAGGGAAAAAAAGCGTTTTTAGGCACTTTTTAGACATTTTTGCCCGAAAAATCTATTTGTTTTCGGCGCGCTCTCCCCCCTCTTAAAAAATATATAGTGGCACCAAAAGCGCCTTTAGAAAGTTTTTGGGTCAGAAAATACGCTACTGTGCCAAACCAATCATCAGGAACCAAATTTCGAAAACTCATCAATTTTTTTTTTCAATGGTCATAACTCACCTGTCGTCTAATCCACTCTGACACTTGTCAATGCAGAGAGAGGAATATTCCACACGCAGCTGCTCAATAGACTTCACATCCAGATTCACCTGAAAAAATCAGCTTCACCTGAGATTGAACTGATTCCACTACCCTGTGGATCTGACTTTTGCTGTTTCGTAAAAATATTTTAAAAAAAACCTGAAAATAGCAGACTTGTGCATTTCAAGTCCCTGAAACGCACATATCTGCTGTTCCCAAGCCCTGTTTAAACAACAAAAAAATCGATTATTGGTGCCTTAAGAGACAATAGAAGAGCAGCGCATTTTAGATAAATGTCGAGAAAATATTTTGAAAAAAAAATCAACGTTTTTAAAAGTTTCCTTTTGTATTTCTGTTTGGAAATAAAAACCAAGATACGATTGCTTCGTGGACAGCAAATTACCAAAAAGAAGACAACAAAATCGGTTTTAAATGCATCAGTTTTAGTGATTTTTCACTTTGAAAGCTTTTTTTATTATGAAGTTGTGAATGCTGGTGCTGAAAATTTGTCGGAGAAACCGGCCCATGATTTCTTTTCATTCAAACTATTTTCAAATGGTTACAAATATGCCTCGAGTACCCATTGAGTTACCCCCCCCCCCACTCGGGAATGGTGGGGAGAGATTGCCCAAATAATGATCAGTCACAGAGTATGATTTGACGTTATTATACCGACTTGAAAAAAAGTAACGGATGCTAAGCCTGCTGAATGATTTTTAACCAGACTAAGCTCAGTGATCGAAAAAAAAAACATTTTTTTTGTTCGCGAAAACCTTCTGTATAAAAAAGTCAAAATCTAGTAATAGAAATAGGAGAACAGCGATAAACTAATTCTTCATAAGCAGCGATAGCAAAAAAAAAATTCGGCCTTTTTTCAAATAAAATCGAGTCAATAATCTGCCTTCACATCATTTCTTACTTGAACAATGCCCCAGTATCCGTTCACTTCCTCACTACTCCCACTACTACTCAGTGTGCTGTTTGGATTCACAAGACTGGCCACCACTTCCAGGAAGTCCTTGGGGGCATACACTGGACGATACTGCTCCAGGTTCGGATTTCCAGTTCCTGCACATGACAACTAATTTAGAGATTTTCATCAACTATTCTTAACACCCTCCACTATTCTGGCTTCAACGCCTGGAAATATTACCTGGATTCATTGAACAATGATCGGTTTCAGCTTAGTATTTTTTGTATTACCGGCTCCTAGAAAACAAGACGTTATTGTGTCGCAAAATCTGATATTAAAAATCTCAAAACATAAATCAGATCCCTGGTTATAGCCGAAACTTATAAACTGTTATAGGTTCTCCTAGCCTCAAAGACATAACGATGATGCAAATTTATGTTGTTCTCGTTCTCGCTTATATGATCTGTTAATTAGCAGTTTCATCAATAATGATCATTTGATATCCAAATGATGAACTCATTTGCATGAACACAACATTCTGCAAAAGATTTTCTGTTCAAGCCATTTTTGGTCAATTTTTAGGACTAATTTTTGCTCATCGGCTTTATATACATTTCTACTACATCAATCAATAAAATATTTGAAAAAAAAACACAGAGCTTTTAGAAAACTTCAATTTGGCCTTACTGTTCTTGTATTTTTTTTAAAAAAAAAACAGAGGTCCTGTAGATTTCATGTAGATACACCTCCATCAAATGAGATCCACTTTTGAAATTTTTTAAGCTCGATTTAACCCCTGGTGTGGACCAACATACAAGGGGGGGGGTTAAAAGAGTGTTAAACTGGCCTATTTCATTCCACTTGGTCTTCATTTCGATCTGTTCCTGTTTACCCCTCCTCCTCGCTAGGGGGACAGACAACTCAGTGCACATTGTGTTCAGACTCTTCAAGATTCTCTTCTCCCACAACAGCTGGGCACGGCGCACGAAGCCTGAAAAGCGGTCTCATATCAGTCACGAAATTCAATTCAGTTTTTGAATCACTGACTACTCAACCCGCACCCAGAACTGAAGTTCATTCACAAACTGATTTTTAAACGACATGGTATTTTAAATCTTCTTAGAATCATCGAAGTTCGCGCTTCGTTCGCTAGCTCAAAAAGTTCTTTAAGTTGTAGCTTTAAAATACCATCCTTCTTTCCCTTTTTATTGGCACTTCCTCTGTTTTCAAAAAGTGCTAACAAACCCTTTCAGCCCAAATTATTTGACTAGCTTTCGAGGTTGAAATCTATCTATAACGGATTTCACTGAATGTTTTTTTATTCCTGTTCACTTTGGGCTCTCAAAACTGCGTGATCAGAAACAACGGAGACTGCGGGAGTCAAACTCCGTTTTCAACCCACAAATAACAACGTTTTTTTTTCTCGCAAAACTTGCAAAATTAGGAAACAACGGAGACCGCGAGAGTCGACCTCCCTTACCTTCAAACAATTACATAACTGCGAGGTCAGAAAAAAAAGGAGATTGCGGGAGTCGAACTACATTTTGTACACACCAATAAAAACTGACCGAGTGGCTCTGCCTCCAGCACAGTTTGGTCTCTCAGCTTGAGTTCTCTGTACACCTGATTGGCCAGCACTCTACTCAACACACTCCTGTTGATTCTCTGCTGCACATCTGAGATGAACTGCGAATTAGACACCACAGCTGAAGAGTTGGAAGTGTTTGAAGAGGGCGACTTGGTTTCCTGCGAAAGAAAAAATTATGAAAAGTAGTTGAAGCTTGGAGAGATGCAGGAGGGTGGGGGCTTGGAAAAAACCGAGCGCCACCTCATCCGACAAAGAGGGTTGGAATGATTATCATCAATTGATAACAATTATGGTAATAAACCAGATAATAACCCATCTTACAATGGCAAATATAGCCAACTGACAGTTGGAAAAGAGTAACGAACACAGGGAAACTAAAAAAAAAACGTATTTTTGAAAAACCTCTAACTTTTAAATTTCGAGGAAAGAAATAAATGGCCCTAAAGATCTTTGAATTTGCAGAAGTTTATGATCGACACTTTTTTGAAAAAATAAACTCAATTTGGAAACTGGATCAAAACTTATATTTCGCTGGGAAATCTGATAAATAAATTCCATTTTCGAAATTGGAAGTCGATTTTCGTGTCCTTAACATTTTTGATGTTCCATAGTGGAGTCTGCCTTCCTTTTAGTAAAAGAAATGAAATGGGGTAGATTAAAAGTCAAACCGCGAAAAATCAAAAATGAGCGTGAACAATTTTTCACACTTTTTCCTGAAAAAAAATCAACAAGACCTATATAAAAGTACTCACTACATTCATCACTCTTAAGAACATCAAGATTAAAATCAAATGACGAAGGATATGGAGCGGTTAACCGGTTAATGAAACTAGTCGGTTAAAGTATTTTAACTGATGAAATTGATTTAACAACAGTGAAAAATCGTTTTTTATAAATTAAAAGGAAAAGGAAAAAGCGGTTTCTTCTTTTTTCAAAAATTCAAATCCTGCATCTTGTTTTTAATTCAGGTTGCCAGCTGCAATCAAACTTTATAAACTTATTTTTTCATAGATACACTAATTTTTAGAGAGAAAAAAAACAAAAATTGGAAAACTCTTGATGATAATCAACAACATGGATAATAATCAAAATAATCTGATTAAACAATTTTTTTAAAGGAAATCGGACTTTTTTCCAACCTTGCCGACAAAATTGGGGTAAATTTTGCAACTTGAAGATCTTCTTCCTCCTGAAACACACGCACAACCAATTTTTGCCCTTAAATCGACGGATTATAAGGCGAATGAGCCGCAACCACATTGGCCGAAACCATTTAAGCCGACAAATTCTTTTGACCAACAATGAAAATGAAAAAAAAAAAGAATTATACAAATAAGGGGTCGCAAAATTTGCGAATACAGGAACGAATCAAAGAACCTTTAATTTTTAGCAAATCTTGCTTATATCAGAAGAAATGCATGACTTGCGAAGTAAGCCGACAAAAAATAAGCATACAACCAATAGTCAGATTATTCAATTTCTCTCAAAAAACAATTTATCAGATCCTGGCAAGAATCAATCCAATAACTTTTTTTGTCTCGAACTTTGTTGTTACCTCCACACTTAACAGGCCAAATTGGTACCTAAACCTGATATAAAAATTAAGAAGGCTGAGCAAATGATTCATTGACTTCGTTGAACAGGTTATTAACCAGAAAAAAGTCTATATTCCCATTTAATAACACCTTGCTAATCGCAAGTTTAAAAATTATTGTCTATTATTGTCTTCGGCAAAAATTATTGCGGTATATTTTAAAATACTTTACTTTTCTCTTATTTTTGTTCTTCTTAAATGAGGCTTAAAAAAGAAGTAATTATTGTTTGCTTAAGTTCCAACAGCTGTGAATGACTTTTCTTGTCCACCCTAGCAGGAAATTAGTCTATATAGTCGAAAATAATTTGACAAGTTTTCCACGACACGAGGTTTTCTGTTGAAATGTCATTTTGTAACCCGAATCACAACTAAATGATTTTATTATTTGACAGACTCGATGTCCAACTGGTATTAAATCTGCCATAACCCACCCTCGGTGATGTCAATTTAAAAGAGAAAACAGTTTAAATTCATTTAAAATTTCAATTATTTATATAAAATTATGCGTCCACTCAATATAAATAAGGCATTTTAATTTCAAATCGAGCAATTTAAATTGAAAAAAAAACTTGAATTGCCCGAGCAGGATTCGATCTGACGCCAAAGTAAACATTTAACCTGTGTCAATTATTTTCTTACTTCGGAGTTCCGCAGAAAAAGCAAACAATCTGAAACTTCATGACAAAAATACAAAAATTTGGTTGCATATAGACTTGACCGAAAAATTGTTTTAAATTTTTTTGTTCCAATTGCAAAAAGTACCAAAAATTTGGCACAAAAACAGATTTCAGAAAAAAATAAATTGCTACAGAAAAAAAATTTCGCAAAAATATAAACTCATGTCAACAATTTTTGCAGAGGCGACGCGGAGCTTCGCATCACTTCGGATACCCCAGAGTTATCAATGCAAGCTAGTAGAGAGAAAGTTAAACAAAGCTACTAAGTCGAAAAACAATTAAAACATTTCGTGAAAACCACAACAACAAAACTTCAAAAACTTGTCTGAAATGATGTTCCAATTGAGGACAACACGTCCACAAAAACAATAGCTGGCGTTCAAAAGTAATCAGGCACAAAAAACGAGCGGCAACTAAGCCAACAAAAGTCGGCACGACTCGCGTTGAGCAAATATGTTTTCAATTGAGTTCAAACTTTTACGCTCCCTCTCAGACAACACACAAAAAGCATTAAAAACTACTTTTTTAAATCACCGCTATTACGCCATTTACTCGATAAAGCATAGACCGAAATAATTGAGGACAAACAAAGCTCTCAAGCAAAAAAAAACGATAAGATTACAAATTCAACAGGTTTACAAATTACAGTAACCACTCATAACTTTTTCAATTACAAAATTTTTTTTTTACATTATAGCAAAAATCAGTAGAAAAAAAACAACTAAGGCTACCAAACAATAGCAGGCACACAAAATTTCGACAAAACATAATCAGACAAACGATAGGCCAAAATTTTATTTGAAACGAAAAACTTTGACATTAAAAAATAGACCTGGCTGGATCAAACCCACGACCTTTGCCGTCCCAGGCGTAGTTTTTACCTCTAGGCCAGGTTTCCCGTAGAAATCAAGAAAATTGATTTCATTATCAGTATCAAGAGTACTGATATAGCTTCTAAAAAGTACTGTTAGTAGTAGCGGTAGACCGATAGTTTACTTTCAATTTTCAAGCATTTGAGTATGAAAGCATTTGTGAATGGAGTGCATGTGATTGTAGTGATTCAAGTGATTTTGTTAAGCAATTTATTAACCCAAAAAAGACCATATTCCGATTTGATAACGCTTGCTAGTCGCAAGCGTAACAATTTTCCTGAACAAAATTATCAAAATTTATTTTACATTACTGCCCAACCTCCTTAGTTCCTTGTCACCCCTAGAAATCGTTGGACTGAAACAAGACTTAACTGACCTGAAGAGCCGTCTGTTTAAGTAGCAAATAAATATCACTATTCCTCAACTTCTGAGTCAGTTCTTCTATTCTGCTTTGAACCTCTTGCTCCGTCAATCGAGGCAGAAGATCCTTCGTGTTTGCTAAATTTAAATTCGAAGCCATTTTGAACAAATTTTAATTTACACTTAAGTATTAGTAATTGGGAGAACCATTAAATCTGAAAAAAAAGCATTTTTTTCCGAATTAATTTCATAAGAACAATGCCAAGATAAAAAACTTGCTCAGAAGTAAGACTTTCATATCCAAATAACGATGAATTTGTTAAATCTAGCTAGCTATAAAATAGAAAGAATACAGAAATATTAAATTTATAACAGCTCTGATTATGTTTAGTGACTTAGCATACAACAAATCTTTACATAACTGTACAGTACAAAGTATAGTGAATTACATTACAGCTTAGACTGGGCTTTTTCTTGGAATTGAGTCAATTTTGAAGCAAGCATTACATTTCCAGACACTTTAAGCTGTTTGCTAAAAAAGGCTTTTTGGGGATTCAATTTTCCAGAAATAATCTTCACAAAAGTATCATCGGTAGTTTCGATTGTACAATCAGCTTTTAAATTCATATCAAAATTAGCGTCGAACTTTACTGTCGGAACCATCGATTTGCAGTCCACGAACCAAAACTTCTTCAAATTCGATTTCGCGTCAGTGATGACAAATTTATAGACCGCGTTCACTTTCTTAGCCAAATTTGAATCTATTTCTAGTTTTGATTGAATATCCGCAAATATTTTATCCGAGCTAAATTGAACTGATGACATATCTTCTTTTTTAGCCTGTTTTTCGGAACCCTTTCCTGGTTTGTCGGAAACTGTTTCAGTTTTTTTCTCTAATTTTGCCTTTTCTAAAGCCTCTTTAACTTTTCCTTGAAACTGCTTTAATTTCATAGCAAGCGTCGGGTTGCCTGATAACTTCAGTTTTCCGCTCAAAAAAGCTTTCATCGAATCTGTTTTACCCGTCATAACATCAAATAAGTCTTCATCTTTGGCCGTTAGAATACAATCAGCTTTTTCGTCTTTGTTAAAATCAACGTATGGTTTCTTTTCCGACTTGGCATTTACAATCCAAATTGCTTGACCTTGCTTGCCAGTGACCTTGAACTTATAAGAAGCATTGACCTTTTTGATGAGGTCAACATTTTCGGGGTCATTGATCTGGTCTGAAATTGCGTCAAAGATTTGCCCGCACTTGAATTGATCTGCGGATATTGTCGTTGATCCACCTCTGAGCTTGGGCAGATCTTGTTTTCGGTTTGATAAACCATTCGGCCAATTAGCCTTTTTGTAAGCTGCCACAACACAAGCTCCGCCAAGACCTTAAAAAAGCGTTATCATAAGGTGTTTCGAGTAAAAACTGCTAGTGACACAAAAAAGCAATCAACTTTCCACAAAAATGACTTTCATTTTCGCAATCACAGAACGCATAATTATTGAGAAATTCCCAATAATCTAACAAATATAATCAGGTTAAGTTCGGTCAACCGAAGATTGATATCGTACAATAGTACTAAAGGGGGATCCTTTGGATGGCGAGGGGGTCGAATCCCTGAGAAGGGAGGACCCCTTCCCCTTAAATCTGCTTCTGTATAAATGCTGAATAAGTTCAACGTATTGTACGCTGAACAATTAAAAGGTATTGTACGCTGAACAACGAATTTGTAAGAGCGTGTTCATCAGTTTTGAATCCAACATTAATAAAAACTGAATTGTACTCTATTTGTAAAACTTACCCAGATTGTGTTGTAGTCCAATCTTTGCCCCTTGCACCTGTCTCTTTCCAGCCTCGCCCCTCAAGTGCAGACACAATTCAACGCACTGAGCTATGCCTAACAAAGAACGAAATAGGCTGGGGTTGGGGGGCTATAATTGGAAAGACCCCGAAGTTGCAGCTTCGGAGAAGTCTGATGAAAAGACAAACTCAGTTTGAGATTTTAAAATGCCTATAAAATTTTCACAGCCATTAAACTTTTTTGACGTTAAAGAAACTCAGTTAAATTTTTCTACAACCAAAAGTTGATTTTCTTCTCAACATAGTTTTGTATTATCAAGATAACTCATAATTCATGTACCTGTAGCCCCTAAAGGATGTCCTTTTGAGATCAATCCGCCACTCGGGTTGATCACATATTTCCCACCGTATGTGTTGTCACCCCTGTCTATGAAAGCTGCACTGCCACCTGCAAGATTCAGAAAGCTTTAAACAAAAAACGCCTGAAATATTTCCCAAACAGTGACGAGAGGATTATATGTTTAACCTTCAATCTATCTCTAAGTCTCTAGATCAGCGACAAGAAGCTTTTCACCACGAACTCGTGAACCAGCAAAAAAACGCAACAAAAATTTTCAGAAAATACAGAAAAAACTATGCCTAGAAAGAGAGAGCAAAAGGATTTGACTCATGCTAATAGTTTCGAGGAAAACTTCGAATACCGCTGAATTTGAACCACGCACCCTGATTAGAGAAATTTGCCACCCCAAATGTTTACCGTTGCCAAACTCAAGAGATGAAAATGTAACACCTAGGCGGATACAGAAAGCTCATGCGGTACACAAAATAGATAGTTAACTGTTTAAGAAACCCAGCGCGGAAAGTATGCTATACATCGTATTAGGTCACAAACACTGTTAGAGTAAAAACAAAAAAAATAGGGGTGATGGAATAAGGGGTGGGATAGCTTTTCTAAGCAAAAAAAAAATAATTTTCTTCCGATTCAATTTTTTGCTTCATCATCGTTGAGATACACCCATGTATTTCATCAACTCTTCATGTTAAATATTTTAGAACTTCTACTCATATTTCTCAGCGCTGAAAAAAATTAATTTTGAAACATATCATACTTAAATAACAATTAAGGGAAACAACTTTATATATATTTTTTTCATTTTAAATGGAGTGAAAATTGTCGGTTCTATATAAATTGCACATGTTCGACAAAACAAATCAAGTTCCGGAGGAAAAGCTTGCTTGCTAAATGGGATTAAAATGAGTCTATCACACCTGTTAAATTAGAAAAAATATGCTTAAAAAGATACCGGTGTTAACCTTCTTCAAGCAATTAACCGCAAATTACTGCGAAACTAGGTTTAAAACTTCAGTACACAGCCCCCAAAAAATCAACAATCCGTCAACCTTGAGGTCTCATTTTTCGGCAAGTACAAGAAGATGGTAGCCCAGGAGAGACTTCCTTTCACACTATTCCACACCACCACAAATGGGGTACATTCTCGTATATTTGTGATTCAAACCCACTCCAAATGACCCAAACTAAATTCAATTCGTTTGTCTTCCTGGCTAAGCCATGTGGTTGGGGGATTCGACTAAGGGGGATTATGTCCTCGGGGGGTTTGTTATAGACCCAACAACGTTGACGCCTTTTCGCGCCATTTGCACTTTTACAACTGAAAACCGTAATTTTACTCTATTTAGCGATTTTACACAGAGGCGAAATTGGGCTTCGCAACTACAAGCGAGAACACGACAAAAATCAGCTCTATATATCGCACTAAAAAGGTAGAAACAAGCTTCGAATTATTAAAAAAAATTGGCTACGCCTCGGATTCGATCTACGACAAAGATTATGAGTCTCACACTCTAATCACTCAGCCACGGACGCTTAATAGATTACAAACAATAGCCACAAATAAAGCAGAGAACAGATGCTATGAAAAGTTCCATGCTATATATCGTGATTAAAACAAAAGTACCACCAAATGAACGTTTTGCCAGAAAACAATAAACACTTTTATTTGCGAGTTAGGTTAAACACAAAGAAAGTTCGTATTATGGTTCGTAAATAGAAAAAAATATTGACTTGAAAAAAATCAAAACTTTCGAATTTGAGAGAAAAAAGTTAAGCCCAATTTGAAAAAACTGGACCAATAACTAAAACTTTATTCGCTGCAAAATCTCAAAATAAATTTCCATTTATGAAACTAGAAGTCGATCGCGTAACCTTTTTTCGTAACCTTTACACTAACAAAAGAAATGACTCAACTGAAAGAGACATCAACAAAATACCTTCAGGACACAGTCCTAATGCCTCGTAAGTGATCAACTCATTAGCTGAGAAACAGTCGTGTAGTTCTATCACATCTACATCTTGTGGGCTGATGTTGGCACTGGAGTAGACTTGCTGGGCAGCCAATTTGGACACCTCGTAGCCCACTATAACATGTACAGTTGATGATAAAAAGTTAAAAATTATGCAAAAATTGTTATCCGAGAGTTTTTAAATGAAAAAGGGACATTTTAAAGTCTTTTATGTAGTTTTCACCAAGATACATTAATTTGCTTATGGAATAACATCAATGTTTACTGTAAAAACGTTTTAAAATAATTCAAAAATATTTGAAAACGCACCGAATACATTTTTTTTAATCAGAAAGTTACTTTCCAGTAATTTTACAGCTTGGAAACAACTTTGGCCAGAATGCGAGCCACTTTTTATATATATTTTTTGCAAAATGGAGTAGATTAAGTATGACCACGCCTCTTTTTTTTGGTAGTAAAATGAGCTCTCACCTAAGTTCATGGCACTTCCTTCGAATGTGGACGGGAGGTCAGTAGTCATGGCAATGGAGAGAATCTCCACCGCATTCTGTCTCAAGTCAGGGCGACACAGAGAGAGAAATCTCTCACTCACTAAAAACAGTAGGAATGTAAAGAAATCATCTTCAAATTACAAACAAGTGAAGCACCATTAATACACACAAAAAGGGCAAAAAAGCAATTTAAAAGAGCAAAATATAAAATTAAAAAATTAATCTGAAAATTACAACGGCCTGGGATAATATAATATGCAAAGAGTAAAAAGCAAGAACTTAGTACTACTTTGAAATATTTATTATTGGTTACGGAACCTGAAAATTATCTAAGGCGCCTTTGGCGCCAATATACACTGATTTTGAGAGGGGAGCGCGCGTCGAAAAAACGCGATTTTTTTGTCATAATTTTCCAAAAAGTGCCTAAAAAAGGATTTCAAAATTTTGCTTGCGTCGCAGAAAATTTGGCCAAAACAGGGACTTTTTAGTGCTTTGGGAGAGCTCGAAAAATCAATTTGGGCGACCAAAAAAAAGGTCGACACAAATTTCGAATACTTTTTGGAAATCCGCCCCCCCCCCCCCCCCCTCGAGAAAATCCTAGATCCGCCCCTGACAACAATCAACACAGAAAATTACGAAGTAGAATGAAAAAATGTGAACCGATCTTCTAATACGAGCGCTGTTGAACAAGGATGATTCTCTTTCACAATTCCATTTGATTCAATACGCAGTTCTTTTCGATACGCTGAAGTTTCCGCATTCGCAACATACCATCAACAAAGCAAGCAAAATATCTCGAAACACTGAAGGTTCTGTTGCCGACGATCTTAAATTTTTTCACACACATTAAGGATATTCTTGATCCAAGAATCCTAATCAATGGGACTTTCAGAAACTTGATTTTCCTAGCTCTCTCAAAACTAAAAAAAAATTTCCGAAATAATGAAGAATTAGTTAAAATAATAGTACCTTATAAGTGAAACTTTTTAGTACCAAAGGGGTACCAAAGTGTACTGACCAAATAATGCATCACTTAACTAGGCCTATCGATTAGCCTTAACTAGGCCTTAAAAAAGATTTGCTTGACACTCGTTCTCGTTGACGACTTATTTTCGCTTTTGAGGCGCTCCGAAAACAGGATCCCTCAGATGAGTTTCAGAGTCTATCGGACTATTTTGAAAACACCTATATTGGTGCCTGTCGAGGGAATAGACGTGTCAAACCAAAGTTTGACATTGCCAATTGGAACGTTTTTAATCGGGTGTTCAGCGGAGAACCTCGCACGAACAATGCATTGGAGGCATGGAATGGCAGCTTCAATATATTCGTATCGACAAAGCACCCAGCCCTCCCCAAGCTGATCACACGTTTCAAAAATGAGCAAAAAATGCCGAAATTTTATGTAGAGACTGATCTCCGGTGATGTTCTCAGAAAACCGAGGCCCAAGTATTCAATCGCCAATGATAAACTCATTCAATACGCAAAAAACTACGATCGAGACCATATACAGATGTATTTAAAACGTTGTACCTTCAATGTACATATATCCTAAAACTTTATGCATAGCAAGTTTGTTTTGATCTCTGAAATTAGTTATTTGTGTTTCGCATTTCTTTGTTAACGTGTTGAAAGCCTTCTGACTCTAATCAAATTAGAAGTTTTAAATTTTCCTTTTATCTAGTCTCTTTAATCTAAATAGGCCGAATTGTCTTTGGCTGAATTGTCTGAGTTTTTTTGGCTGAATTGTCTGTATTTCAACTCGGCTGAATTGTCTGTGGCTGAATTGTCTATGCGCCGTCCTTACATATCAGAAGTATCTAAGTAAACAAATATCTACAGAATATGAATATGTTAGTATTATGATTATTATTTTCCAAAAATTGAAATACTTTTTGAAAGTTAGTTGAGATACCTAACACAGCAGCTGCAGCTCCATCAGAAGTAGGGCAACACTGTAGTTTAGTGAGGGGATCATGGATACAGGCACTGTTTTCTATCTCATCCAATGAATATTCATCCCTGAAAAACAGTCCGAATCAGAAGAACTTTTAGAAAAAGCAACATAAATTGTTATAAATTATTTTTCATTCAATTTAAACCAACTAATCAACAGATGGTAATAATTTGAATTATTAAAAAAAGATGCATTAATAAATATTTTAGCTAGAAGTTGACAGGAACACTTCTAGTTCCCGATTTGAAAAAGTTTGCTAATCGTGAAGGTAAAAAAAAACGACAATGCGACTGAGGAATCAAATTTTAATAATTTTCATTGGTTGTTTCACTAATGACTGACCTGAACTGGCTCTTTGGGTTGTTCGTAGAATGAAGATGATTCTTCTGGGCTATCTTGGCAAAGTGTTCGGGTTTAGTTCCATACTTGGACATGTGTTCTCTGCCAGCATTGCCGAACAGTTGGGCTGTGGGCGGTCCACTTTCGTAGCCGAATCTAAATTCACTCGTTCAAATGACATCACCGTCTAAAAGACTCTTTTCCGCCAATAAAACCAACATTATTAAGCCTTGCGCACTGACTCGGAACGTCGGAAATACACGAGATATGTTTGGAACACATGCCATTACTTTGAAGGCTATCCAAAATAAATATATGATATTAAAAAGTTAAGGCCAAATACTCAAATTGTTAAAAAAATTGAAGCTTTCCAGGCAAAATCAGGTACCACAAACGATCATCAGAATATGTCGAGTGATAAAGTCTTTTCAGTCGAGATTTAAATGACATCCCAGTGTCGAGAAAAAGGTTTTAATTTTTTGAATTTCAGTTCAATTTCGAGCGAGTAAAGCAATCGAGTAATATTCATTCTATGAAAATTTAATGCGCTTCCTCGGCGATAAAGGTTTTTCTTTAATTTTTTTTTTAGCTTCACTCATGTTTTTTGTTTGCTATTTATTTTTTGAAGAGAAATGTTGTCGATTATGCCAATTAACAAACTTTATACGCATTTGCATAGTTCTCTAACCACGCCACGCACTGAAAATGACACTAACGTGAAGAAACAAAGCTTTGTAGTTTTGTGGTCGGAACATTCCTTGTTTTGTAGCGTAATTTTTGATAGATAAGACAAGGTCTTAAACCTTTCAACTATTGGAAACAATTGAAATTGAAATGAAGTAAGGTAATTAGCATCAATTAGTACTAGTATTCATTACTTAATCATAAATTATCAATCATGCATCTAGGGTACTCATAAGAACTGTTCAGTTCAATCACGTGAGCCTCTTGTAAAAAAAAATGTCAAAAAAACAGAATCAGAGCCCGGACGACATTAGGTTTCGCAGCCTCCTCTAAATATAAATGGTGAAAAAATGTTGATTCGCAAAAATTTGTGTTTGCAAGAAAAACGCTGAAACTGATCTGTGAAAAACTACCAACTTTTCAGCCATGATAGCCACGTGATTCTCCACCGGGTTAGCCCTGTCAGTCCACTTCACCCCCAGACTGCCCCTCTCCATCTTCTCAAAGCCCAGAGCCAGTACACAGTCACTCCTGTTTCCAGCTAGCATCTCATGTGCCAAATAGAGGGCGGAGGATCCAGTTGCACAATTGTTGTTCACGTTCACAATTGGTATACCTGTATCAGCACAAAAAGCTAGACAGTGCTGATTTAAATTAACCAGACACAACGAACAACAGTCGAAAATTCAAACGCCTTTTTCTCAAATTGAGCTAAGATAATACAAAACATTTAACAGACAATTAACTTGAGGAAAACGCTTTTAAATTTTCAAATTTTGTTTGTTTTGTCCGAATATTTAAATCAGCACTTACAATTTGAAGAAGAATTAGTTCTCAAGGTTCATCGAAGCTCATTTAACAACGATAATTATCTTTAAAAAAACTCTGAAAGATAAACCAACAATCTCAATGAAAAATTAAACGGTTGCCCTGTATTCCTAACAGGTTCAAAATAAATTTTACACAAAAAATTTTTTCTTTTAATAATCAGAATAACAACCACATGATCTTCGGCGGATGATGAAGGTGATTGAAGATTTCTGACAAGTAAAAGTTGTTGGATATGTTTCTAATGCACAGAGGCAAAACTGCACCGAGCAAAACAAAAAAAAAACAAGCCGCATTTGGAGATCCAAAAACTCACTCACCTCCCCCCCCCCCCCAAAAAAAACGATGGACGTCCTTACTTTGCACTTACTTTATTGTTTGAAGCCCCACCCCGCAGCCCAAAACGCCCAACACCTCCATCTAGAATACTGACCCCTCCAATTTTTGGGGATTGTGAATGGACCTTACTGTAATTTTTATAACATAAATATTAAAATTCATACCCAAAGATTTCTTTTAAAAAATTATGCCAACTTCGAGAGCTCCAAATAAAAAACAACTGTTTTTTCAACGTAAAAAAATTGTCACCTGGATTGAATAACTAAAATTTTATCCAATTTTTAACGTTCAAGAAAAAATTTGGCTCCATTTTACCTGATAAAGATTTATCAGAATTGATCCAAAGTTGCGGGACCCCACTGATAACTTTGAACCTCCCCCTCCCACAATTAAAAACGCCCGTTTTATTCGCAAAATGTCCAACCCCCAGTAATTTTCGACCCTCCGCGAATAAAGTACAACAGAGTATATCATGCCGACGAATTTAACGTCAACTCAAGGTACAAACAATAGCCTTATCCACCTATCTATCAAATTGCTCAATTCTGTCAAAAACTTAACTTCGAACTCTCCCCTTTAAAATACTCTATCACGCTCTTCTCCCCGCCTCAAGAGGCTACAAAAGAAGTACCGAACAACGATTCAGCTCAATCTAAACGATATTTGCCCGAAATATACAATGCTTTGCCCCTAAAGGGCATTGAATTTTCGAATTGATAACTAAAAATTGATTCTGTGAAATGTTTAAACAATTTTTAACGTTTTGAAATAATTGATTCTGTGATATCTCCATGAAGTGTTTCTTGTGTTAAAATACCCCACAGCAAAAGTTGTTGTAAAAATAGGAGCTCTTGGCAAAAAAGGATGACAAGCTAGACTACTTTCGAATCAACCGTACCTACGTGACCTACCGTAGAATGCCCTCCCCAAGCATGTTTTAATTCTGAAAAAAAATTCTGCATAAAATATGCATTTCATAAACGCGCAAATAAAAGTGGTTTTTACATTTTTACGTGGGATTGCATTTGCATGCTGGTAATTACACAAATTAATGTTATATTAACAGCAACCAACTCACCTGTCATGCCCAACTGGTACAAACTCTTCTGTCCACAACACGAATCTCCATAACAATACCCCACAAACGCCCTCTGAATGTCAGAATACTCCAGACCAGAATGCTCCAGGGCACTTCTGGTTGCTTCTAACGCCATGTCTGGGTAGTCGAAATTGTCACGTCGACCTGGCTTCTCGAAGTTTGTCATGCCAATTCCGATTACGTATACTTTCATTTTGAAGTATTAACGGTAATTCAATTTTGAGTCTCTTGTTTGAATGATTGGTCAGGTTTTTATAATATTTCGTTCGAGTTCTTTACAAATTGCGTTATAATTTGTATACGATCAAACTGGTAGCTGGAAATTTTCAAGATTACTAGATAAATATTTTATTAGGATAATAATTGTAAATAAGCAACGGAATATTTTCTTAAGAAGCTTCTTATTTTTGTCCAAAAATGAAATGTAATTTCAAAATTTGAGTAAATTGTAACTTGAAAAATTGATTGGAATAAGATAACAATTAAATCCAGCCGCAATAAAACCACTTCGTTACGTGTATAAGTTGTATTTCATGAAGACAGAAAGAGTTTTGTGGTCTGTTACAAAGCGTAAAACTTAGTTTCGAATCAGCTCACAAACAGAGAAAATACATTGTGGTTTTCTGCATCATGAAAACCTGAAATTTAATCTTCATGAACATACCATGTACACTGGAGAAAAAGGACAACCTATAAAGATTTCTGGCTATCAGGTATAATAAACTGGACAAAAACCCAATTTAGATTTTTACTCTCAAAGTGATACTTTGGACCAAGTCATTTTGGACATATTTTTAAAAGTCATTTAGAACATTTTGTCCGAAAGGTATAATTTTTAATGATCTCAGCAACCTTCTATGAAGATATGAATATTTGATTTCGAGGACCAGTTAAATATGGGTCTAAAAATGCCTGTTATCAATATCTGCTATAACATACTAGAGAGTGAACTCTTTCAAGTGAAATAGCATAAAAAAATCATTGCAAGCAGACAGGAAAAGAAAACCACTAGGTTCGCAAAAAAAAGAAAACTTTTGAAAAACCCACAATTGAAAAATAATTCAAAAAGTTGCCTAGAATGATAATCTGTTTGCAGAAAACACTTCGAGAAACACATTCGACGGCGTTTAATTAAATTCATAAAACAATTATCGAGCCGCAACCACCGACAAAACTAGGGTAATTTCCATGAAAACCTAACAATGTCATGAAACCCCTTAAACTAAAAGGTAAGTAAAATTACAAAATGCAGGAGTAAATCAACACACCAAAAACAACTAAAATGAAAACAAGGGGCCCAGCTAAAGCTGAAGATACCGGTTTGATATTTTTTCAGAAAGTTTACTGATGCGAAAAAATGCGTAATTTTCATCAAACTTTCAAAAAATGGACTTTACTCAAAACTTAAGGGTTGCTCTACCAAAAAAAAAGTATAGCCGCTTATGTATGTGGAGACGCCTCCTACCCGGTCTTTCAAGTGAAAGCGATTTCAAAGTTCGGCTCTTTTCTCTTTTCCCCTTCAAACTTTCGTATTTTATGGTTTTTTACATGTTAATATGGCTAAACGCGCATATTACGATGCAAGGGTATGAAGAACAAATCTGTTCAACTATATTATCTTTATCACCATGCAAAACTTCATTGCATTACAACAAGGTCAAGGTAATTTTCAAAAATTGAATTAAAAAATGGGGGAGGCGAAAACGGCCAGGATAAGTTGACAGGGTAAATTTCAAGAAAACTGGAAACTTTTCTCAACGTTAAAAATTACGATAAATTGACTTTTCTTAAAGCCATTCCATACCAGCTGCCTTATATTAAAAAAGGATGTAACTGTTTATGCAGGTAATTTCTTTGCGCCATGTTCCTTCAATCACACCATGAACCTCAGAAAAAAAAGCTTCCAAAAACGATCAAAAAGTCCAAATTTTGGTTTTTCCTAAGGTCAAAATATTTCATCTACAAGTTAGAGCGTAGCTGCTTCAAAAGGCAGGAAAAACTATCAGAACATTTTTTTCGAAAGAATCCAAAGTTTTAGGACTGCATTTTGAAAGAATTCCCATACATTGTTTTTTTTAATTGATATCTAAATCTCGGATTTGGCAGTGTAGTGGAAAAGTTTGCAAAACAGAGTTTTAAATTATCCCAATGAAATATTTATTTTCTTACAAAACTTTAAAAGTTGTCGATTCTGTGGTAAAATTTCTTGCAACCTGTTCCCTTGGTAAGAGTAGTTTTTGAGAAATGTCATTAGTTTCCAAAATCGGTCACAAAAAAATTGCGACTTTTCGTAAGGCTAATTTTTTTTTTAAAGCTAACTCCTTTGTGCAGCGAGGAAGCCCACAATCTGTTTTATTTCGAATCAACCATTAACCCGAGAACTGGCAGGGTAGTTTTCGAAACAAAAGTGTCCAAATACGGTAAAATGTTCAATTGACTTTTCCCAAGACCATTTTTTTCTAGGGAAATTAGGACTGAGACGCTTATTGAATGAAATTTCTCGGAATCTATCCTTTCGCATAAACCCTTGATATCAGATTTGGCAGGGCAGTTTTTGAGAACAAATTTCCAAAAATCAAAAACCGGTCAAACAAAAAATTGACTTTTCGGAGAGCCATTTGTTTGAGTAATGAATTTGAGCTTTGCAGCTGATTCAGGGGAGCGTTTCGCAACTCTTTCTTTTTATTGAACGCAAAATGTCCAATTTAGCAGGGTGCTTTTGAGAAAACTTACAAAACCCAAAAATATGGGCTTTTGTTGAAGGCTGTAGAAAATGAGAAAAGCGAAAAAAAACTAGAGAATATTTACAAACACTAGAAAGTGGGCAATCCTGCCAATCGTACCACTATTTTGAAAATCGGTAAAAGAGTTTTTAAGAAAAAATTAGAGAAAAAAGAAAAAACAATACACCGCGTCTCAAAAAAATCAAAAACCAAATCCCATACATTTTCATATTACCTATTTTAATCCAACAACATTTGCGTAAAACGAATTTTTTTTCTAAAATAGGAGAACAAAGCCAAAATAAAACGAGCAGACAAATAATAGACCGACGGCTTGAATCGAATCAGATTGTTTCCCTTTAAAAAAACAATTCTTGGTCAGATCGAACCCAGGGCATTTGCCATCCCAGGCGTATTAGTTACCTCCAAGCAGGGTGACCACTTTTTTGAGAGAAAAATTGTGACCTTTTTTTTAGCTCTGCCAAAGCACTAAAAAGTCCCTGTTTTGGCCAAAATTTCTATGCCGCAGGCATAATTTTGAATAAACAGGCTGAAAAAGTCAGTTTTAGGCACTTTTTGAAAAATTTTGAAAAAAAAATTGCGTTTTTTCGGCGCGCGCTCCCCCTTCAATATTAGTATATATTGGCGCCAAAGGCGCCTTTAGAAAAATTTTAGGGTCCGTCACCAAAGCCGTTGTGAATAGTGACCATTGAAAAAATAGTGACCAATTAGTGACCAATAGTGACTGGTCACTAAAATAGTGACCAAGTGGTCACCCTGCCTCCAAGTATTACGGAGAAGCTAAGAAATTCAAATTCGTTTACGGAAAAAAAATGTTTACGAGGAAAAAGCCTAGTACCCGGCTGCAAAACCCTTGCCAATCGCAATGGTAATTAAGTTGAATTTTTTTTGTACCTGCATGTTGTCGCAATTCAGCGAAATTTCACAGCATTTTACATCAGCAAAACAAGCTTTTTCAGCACAAAACATAGTTAAAATTCAATGAACGTCAACAACATGCGTGATCAACAAACATTCCAACTTAATGAAAATAGATCATCGCAATTTGCAAATTTTGCTGCCTATTACAAAAAGAAGGGGTTTAATCGCCAAACAAAATGGTGAAACCAGTGAGGATTCATAAAAAACGTGTTTTGAAAACACCCTGTGGAGGTTCGCTGAAACTTGACCACATTTTGAATCTGGTTAATTAGCATCGTAACGTTCGTAGTTTCATATTTGAGTAATTAGTTACGTGTACGTCGTGGTAATTACGAACTAGAGAATTGTCCGAAGTCGCTACCAGTGCATCTACTTCGCACTAATCTGCTCAAAACTGTTCACTAACAGCTCGGTGCAACTTTCAACAACGCAGTAGATAATAGATATGGAAGAAAATACAGATGTTTTGATGTACAGATAACGTCAATACGCAATAGCTCAATAAGCAATTTTATTCCTTGAAATAGCCAAACCAAAACGGCATTTTCGGTACAATTGCCGCAAAATTAGGGTATTTTCACTGTTTCTTGGGAGTTCGGAAAAACATAAGAGCAGACCTAAAACAACGTTTGACAAAAATTTCACAAACTTGCACCTCCCCATGCGACACACATAGTTCCGCCCCTGCCTCTACTACATGCTTCTATAAATGTTCAATTCTTCGAAATGTTCAATTCTTCGAAATGTTCAATTCTTCGAAATGTTCAATTCTTCTAAATGTTCAATTTTGGCTTCAGAAAACTTTCTAAATCAGAAATATAGATAGAGGTGTTTTAATACAATTCTTTTTTTCATATAGTAAGCATTTTACCGCATTAAATGTGTATGACGAATTACTATTTTGATATTTACAAACTCGAAATTAAGTTTCCATAATAAAGCCTCGAGCAAGTATTGCTAGTATAAGATAAATGATTCAGTCCAACGAATATTTATTTCAAAATAACCACGAATATTTACAGCACCTAGTCTAAAGCAGAACATCTAGCTGCATGGAAGTTTCAGTTATAGTCGAGAGATATTTTCCATCAGTGGCCCGCAAAAATGAGCTCATACAGCTCATTGTGTAAATTGCTTCCTTTAATATTTGAATCTGTTTAAAACATTTTTTTCAGTTTTATAACGACGAGTGGGCGGGCACTAATAGAAAATACATCACTAGAGTTTTATACCAGTTTCAACAACATTTACTGGTGAGAAATGGCAGCAGAGTATAGTAAGTAGCAAAATCACCTTGCAAAAAATTCTGTTGCGCTTGCGGGATTCGAACTCGAGACCTCATTACTACTACCAGTTTAGTAAAGGTCTAAAATTTCCCAAACACAATGCTCACAGGAGTCTACTGTTGTTATATATCGCACTGCCATTGGTATTCAAAAACATGAAGCTACATGCGCGTTATCGAGTCAACAATTATCATTTTCCAATCCGAATACAGTCACTCGGATTTGGTGAACACTCGCTGGTACTCCTTGAATCGTTTCTCCAACACGGGAACAGACAACCTGAAACGAAGAATGCTGGTTCTGCAAAATACAGTTTACAGATTTTATCATTACCAATCACAAACAATTCGAAAAAAATGCTCAAATATAAACACTCGAAGTCAAAATACAGTTCTTTAGTAGAAGAAACCTACAAAATCGACTTCGCATCAGATTTTTAAATCTTGTTTCCTTTAGTTTCCATATACCGTGACTTTATGATGAAATGGTAGCATAAGCAGTTGCAAATTAAGGGGGACTCCCCCTCAGGGATTTGGCCCCCTGCCGATCTAAAGGGTCCCCCTTTGTGCTACTTTGTGATATCCATTTTTGGCTGACTGACCCTAAAACTTTTTAAAAGCTCCTTGGGCACCAATACATACTAAAATTCAGGGGTGAGCGCGCGCCAAAAAAAACGCAATTTCAAATTTTTCCACAAAATGTCTAAAAGAGCCTTTTTGTGACCTGTTTTCTCAAAAAATTGACTGCGTCAGGAAAAATTTGGTTAAATAGGCTCTTTATAGTGATTTGTGAGAACTCACAAAATCAAATTTGTCGATCTGATCTTAAAAACCGCCCCGAGAAAATTATAGATCCGCCCCTGTGCACAGGTGTTCATTTCATATAGCCAACTTGATTTCAAACGTGAACTCGCCTCTTTTCAAGTCCCTTCACAATTCAATTTGGAAAAGCTTATTTAACGTAGTCATAATGCAATGAAGTTTGGCATGGTGAACAAACTGACAACTGTTAACATATTTGTTCTTCATACATCACATCTTAAAACTACGCATTTAGCAAAATTAACGCAAAAACGAACATAGAAATCGATTTTTTGAAAGGTGGGGGAAGTGGAAAAGACCCCCCTCGTAAAATTACAAATAGAGCGCTAATGGAGCGTAAGTTCTAATGTAGGAAATAACAAGAATTAAAACAGAGGCGAAGCTTCGCTTCGAATACACTAGCCAGAACGTGACAAATCGCACCTCTATAACGTGCAATAAGAAAAAATGGAAAAAAACCTCGAATTAGAAAAATTCGGCGACGTCTCGGATTCGATCTGCAATCTAGATATTTTGAGTCTCATACACTAACGACCACTCCGCCACGGATGCTTATTTAATCAGAAACACTGGCTACAAATAAAGCAGAGAACAGATGCTATGAAGTTTCCAACGCTACAGATCGTGATTACACCAAAAGTTCCCCCAAATAAGTGAACACTCGGCTCTTTTCCAGTTTCCCAACCCCCTCGTAAAAATACAAAACTAAGCTGTTCAAAAATTGTTTACACGGTATTTGGCATGTTAAAAAATGTGGCGAAAATTTGTTCACCTGTATACGCGGACACGTTTTGATACAGTTTATAACATGAAAAGTTATTTTAAATAGACTTCCATAAAATGAAATTCAGAAAAAAATCAAAAGGGGGGCTGTAAAAGAGACGAACACTTTTAATGAACATTTTATTTGCGAGTTAGGTTGAAAAAATAAGGTTCGTACTAATATACTAACGCTCGCAAGTGTACAAAACATTGAAAATAATGATAAAAATATAGAAGAGTGAATTAATTTTAAAAATTTTAACTTTTATAAACCAACTTACAGTTTGCTCATTGTGGGCATGTACTGTGCCAAGTATATGAAGAAGGAGACAGGTCTCTCGAATATCCACACCTCCGGACTCCTGTTGGCCAGAGAGACACTCATCAGTCTGGCTGTCCTCTCCGCCGTCATCCGCTTGTCAATCACTTTCCCACCTCCCGCACTCTACAACACCGACAAAAACTTGAAAAACTAGATTTTATTTCATTTTTGCAGTAACCGAACGACAACGAACGACTTATAATACATCAAAAACATCTTCACTGAAATCGATTTTCACAACAACGCATCTCTCGTCTCTAAAAAACTGATGCATTACATTGTTTTCGACTCCAATTTGGAATGTAAGTTTTTTTTTCAAGATCGTTTTTGTTCCACAGAACCAAAAAAGCTACATTTACACAGGATGTAAAGGCTGTTTCCGTATACAGTGATGATTTAAGCTGTCCAGGAAAAAAGAACACAACTTCAAACTTGATAGGCGTTTTTCTCAAATAAGGTTGACGAAAAACGCAGAAGATAAAACTTACTTAGAGCAGAAATAATATGGGGCAATTTGTTTTGCAAAATTAGGGACTTAAATTTTGCTCCAAAAACGAATCAGTTTCGGCTGTTTAGTCACTCAAAACTTACGCCGCTACTACCAAGTCAAATACTGACAAATTTATACCAAAGTGAGCCTCTTATGTAGCTCAAAAGCTTAAGAAGGATATAATTTTCAAAAATTGCAGCAAATAGTTTTAAAAATGATTTTAAGCACAGAAGTGAAGCGGAGCTTCGCATCACTTGCGACTCCACAAAAATTGTATTGCAAGCTAGCAGACAGGGAAGATAAGAAGAGCCACTAAATCCAAAGAAAACGGAACATTTTTTGAAGAAACCACAACTAAAAAAACTTCAAAATTTTATATGGAATGATGTTCTATCAGAGGAAAACACGTCCAGAAACACATTCAACGGCGTTTAATGAAAATTCATAACTAATTTTCGAGCAAAAAAATGTTGTCATGAAAAACTTCGAACTATAAATTCTATTCTGAGATTTATAAAGTTTTGTGCGATCCGGAGGAAAACATACAAATTAAGTTTCCCCAAACGACCCAAAGTTAGGCTAGTACGCCGATAAAGTATAAGCCGAAATTATTTAGGCCGAAAAAAAAAATCAAAAAAGGAAGTTCTACAAAGCCAAGGCTACAAATGGGTAGAATTACAAATGGCAGGAGTAAATGACACATAGAAATCTGCATACAGCAAAAAATCTAGAATCTGGCAATTAGGCCGACAAAACACAAGGAGAAAAATAATAAGCCAACAATTTTGTTCTGTGAACAAAGTAAATTACGGGAAAAAAGTCTGATACCCGGTTGCTATCTTCAAAAAAAAAAGAAAAAAAACACAATTAAACAATTTTCATGAAACGATGTTCTTTTAAGGAGAAAACGCCTCTAAGTTAAAGAAAAAACAGTTTTTAAACTATTTGCTCAAATTTTTGAAAATTATACCCTTCTCAATCTTTGTGGAGCTACATAAGAAGCTCACTTTGAGACAAAGTTGTCAGTATTTGACTTACTAGTTTTGGCGTAAGTCTTGATTGACTTAAAAGAAGCCAAAACTGATCCCTTTTTGGGGCAGAATTTAAGTCCTAAATTTTGCAAAACAAATTGCACCATATTATTTGTTAAAAATCTAAAATACTTTTGTCTTCATCATTTTTCAACTTTTTCAAACCAATTTGAAAAAGAAGCATTTTAAATTTCAAATTTTATGCGTTTAAATCAGCACTGTAGCGGATGGAAGATCGTAACTTGGTCTGCTTCCACTTTTGAAAAATAGTTAATTACAAAAACTATTCAAAATGACGAAAAATTGTGTATGTAATCTCACCTGGCCTGGAGTATTTGTAAATGCGTTTTCAGAGATGGCTGATTCCACTGGACCAGGCACAGCAAACAGCACATTGATGTCATGACTGTTTAGCTCAACACGCACACCCTCAAATGCACCCTAAATATAAAACTTCTTATGTCTGAATAGCACAGATGTGATTACTACTAACTTGGTAAAATTGTCGAAGCTGCGTTATTTAACTGCTTTAAACTGCTGTAATAGAGACTTTTTCTCAGTTATTTGATAGAGGAAAACCGTAAACGAGAACGCTAATTCCAAAATAGACAGATAAATTTTGAAAATTAAAAATAAAAGCTTGAATAACGGGTTCAAATGTCAATTCTAGAAAACCTTTCAAAATTAAAAAATTTCCCAGTGGCAATTCATGGAATACATATGAGATGAATACGCTATTATCTGATATACTCGCTTCACAAATTTGCAGTGCAGAGTTGAACCAATTTAGGCTAGTTTTTAATTAACTGGAAACTGTTACTTACGTGCAGAGCCGCCTTGGCTGCGCAATATCCAATTTGAAATGGTGCACCTAAAACAAAATGACAAACTTGATCTAATTATATAACCATAGTAACAAAAAAAGTATCTAACCAAAATACCAAAAAAAGATATCAAGAAAAATGAATCAAACAACTTGAATGATTTCTTTTCACAAAACTTTAGTCTGATTACCAATCTGGAGAATTATTGGTGTTCTAACTAGACATATTGGATTCAAAAACGACTTCCAGGAGAACTAATATATAAATAGCCAATTTTGAAATCATAGTAACGATACGATAATGGTCAGATAGCAACGAAAAAAAGCGCTATAAAGAACATGAAGTAATAGGTAACTACCATATTTGGCGACACTGGTAACCAGGACAATTTGACCCTTGACCCCTCTGTGAACCATATCCTTCGCTACCACTCGAGTAAGAGCCACCTGAAATAAACACAATTTTCAAAGTCATACTTCGTCAGTGATGCCAAATCATAACCAAAAAACACTGCCAAAAAAAAACACTTAAAAACAAGGATAGCGGTTTGCTGTGCAAGTAGCACAGAATTTTGCGACCATACTCTTCGAGAAAAAACTAAAACATTTATTTTGTTCAATTGAATGACGTTTTTTTTTGTGCGCGGTTTGATAAAAAGAGGGGACGAAAGCCTAAAACTTGAGCATATTCAAAACAATATCGAAGAGCCGCGCATCTAATTGCAAACTTGAGCTGATCAACTTTCATTTTCATAATATATACTGCGAAACAGTCAACATATTAGCCAACAATCAATCAGATCTTTTTAATTCCATATCTGGAGTTAAACAGACTAACCTGCGAGAAATAATCGAGTTCGAAAAGCTCCCTATCAACTGACAGATTTCCATCAAGGAAAGATCCCCGCTGTGTGCGACCTGCATTGTTGACCAAGATGTCCACCTGAAAAACAATTAAGCTTATGATGAAAAAACTGCCTCTGAAAACACACACAAAAAAAACATTTGTCTTAATCAAGGGCACAAAAATAATTCGCTCGAAAGCATAAAATATCATGAAGGAGCCAGAAACAGTAGAAAAAATTTCCCTTACAACAAACAAATGTGAAGAAATTTGTTACGCTCATCGAACGACGATATATGGGTCCAAAAAAAAAAAGAGAGATAGATCATAGCCTAGACCTTTTAAGCTAATAAGTTGAAAAAAAAAACAGAAAAACAAATATGAAACTGACGAAATTATACACTACAGCAGACAGGCTCAAAATATATCCGTTGGTTGACAAAAGTAAAGATTTGAGAAAATGATTTGGTGATTCTCTTATACATGTTGTTTACCTGGAAAAAGTATGTTCCGATGTGATAACGCTTGGTAATTGCAAGCGAAAGAAGCCTTTATAATTGGTAAGTATGTCTTTGATATAACTAATTTTGAGAAAATTAAATCGGATGCTAACTTCTTTAAGAATAGTGATAATTCTAATCAGCCCCCGGCTTTCTGCTAAATGAAAAAACCACTTTAGTTAACTAAATAGTTCCTTACACACCATCAAATTAGTTGAACAAAAGTTAATTAAAACTCGCATTTTCCATGAAATCTCTTTTAGGAAATGTAGCAACTTTGAGAGAAACCGGAATAGCTCTTTTGTGGTAACATTAACCGGAAAGTTTTCAAATTTTTAATTTTTCTAACATATAGCTTCTAACCAAATCCCCCACAACGTGATCAAAAGCCTTGGTGAAAATGTCAAATGTTGGCGTTCAATTTTAAAAATACTGTCGGTTTTCGTGAGAATTTTAATGAAATAATTTTAAAAAAAGCGCATCTCTGTGACGGGTCCAGGACAACAAGCCAGCGAGACTTCAAACCGATGAGACTTCAGGCCGAAATTTAAACTTTACAAGGACCTCAAATCACTATTTTTTCATCTGTAAAACGTTGCTTTTCAAAATTGTAGGCAAGTTTAGTCCGTAAGCTTTGTTCATGACAATGAATCACTTGGGATGGGCATCCGTTAATAATATCCGTTTTCTAAATTGCATAGCTTATAAACAAGAAAATTGCCTTCAGCCATGTTTTATTTTTCAATTTTCCTTAACATCATTCGGAGGCTTAAATTTTTGAAAACGCCAATAACTACTGGAGAAAGATCATGAAATTGATAAATTTTTCAAAAAAAAACTTTTCAAATTAATCATATTTCATGACTCAATAAGAAAATTTGCGGCTTGAAGTCCCTAATTTTACAATTCGGCTTCAAGTCCCGTCGGCTTGATGTCCGGCACCCCTCTGTGACTAATTCAATTCCTTCATTTTCTCAGAAATAGTTAGTTGACGACAAAAAATAGTTATTTAACTGAAATTCGGGGCCTGATTATAATCTACATGTGAAACTATGATAATTATAATCTACATTTGAATCTCAAGTCAATCACGTATTTTTGAGCCACTTCCAATTTTTGATGAAAAAAAAAGATTGCAACAAAACTTTAAAAGATATCGAAAAACGACTGAGGGTGAATAAACTTTGAATCTTTCTTTTAAAAAACACGAAAAAAACCACATGAACTAAATACTTTGAAAAGAAGTTCGTTCGATATTACATATTGGAATTATATCAATAGTCTTAACTTTAAATATATACAACAACTCCGATCCGTCAGATAAATTCTATATGAAATAAATACAACTACCCCAATCCAGAAATATGAAAATGCCAAGGGAAACCGATCCATCGTTCTACCAAACCCAACTTTTCTAGGGAGCAGAAACGGCAACATAGCAAGTGCAAGTATCAACGTAGCTCTACTGAAGCAATAGAAGCCAGCATATAAACTTGTGCTTAAATCGCTAAAACGCTTGTCTTAACCTAAATTTAGATAGTGAAGTTAAGATTTAATTAAAGCCTAACGTATGCTTCACTTTTCACCAGTAGCTCGATGCCGCCTTAACACAGAAGCACAAGGGAAGCAATAAATGCGCGGATAAATTTAGCAAAAGTAGCTCAAGCTAACGAATTAATTCCAAATTATTGTACGCATAAACATAGCCAACGAAAAGCGCCAATGAACGCAAAGACACAAAAAAATACTGACTTGATTTTTGAAAATACTTAAACGTTCGAATATCACAGAAAAAATTAATCGCCTTAGATCTCTTTGAATTTCGAGAACAATTTGTGATGGCCACTTTTTTGATAAAAATAATCCTATTTGAGAAAACTGGATCAATATGTAAACTGGATCAATATGTAAATTGTTGTTCTCAAATACAAGCAAAAACTGCAAAAGGAGGAGGCCAAGTTGAACTTCTCAAATGCAAGCAAAAATTGCAAAAGGAGGAGGTCAAGTTGAACTTCTCAAATACAAGCAAAAACTGCAAAAGGAGGAGGCCAAGTTGAACTTCTCAAATACAAGCAAAAACTGCAAAAGGAGGAGGCCAAGTTGAACTTCTCAAATACAAGCAAAAACTGCAAAAGGAGGAGGCCAAGTTGAACTTCTCAAATACAAGCAAAACTGCAAAAGGAGGAGGCCAAATTGAACGTCTCAGATACAAGCAAAAACTGCAGAAGGAGGAGGCCAAGTTGAACTTTTCAAATACAAGAAAAAAATGCAAAAGGAGGAGGCCAAGTTGAACTTCGCAAATACAAGCAAAACTGCAAAAGGAGGAGGCCAAGTTGAACGTCTCAGATACAAGCAAAAACTGCAGAAGGAGGAGGCCAAGTTGAACTTCTCAAATACAAGAAAAAAATGCAAAAGGAGGAGGCCAAGTTGAACTTCGCAAATACAAGCAAAAACTGCAAAAGGAGGCTTAAAGTGCAGGAACAAACAAGAAGAAAACGAGCTCAGAGAGAAATGCCGACTGCGTGATTTGACCGAAAGACCTCCAAACTTTGCATACGTTGTCTTCCCTGCTGGCGCATCAAGTTTTGATTAATTTACGTATGCTCTTTAAATGTATATCAGGAAGCACTGACTGTGGTTTAATAGAAATATATAGAAATTCAAGTAGAAAAAAATTCAAGTTGGAAAAAAGTGAACTCGTATTATGATACAAAAGGTTGCTTGCGTAAAATGCGAGTTGCATTAGAAAAAAATGGGCTTGCATGTCTGTTTCCTTGAAAAATAAACAGGGCTTTAGATGATACCAATTTGTCAATTCACTGACCTTTCCAAACTTTTCCACAATTTCCTGGAAAGAACTCTGATGCTGGTCAGTGTTTGTTACGTCTAGAGGCAGAACAAGACAGTCGCTGCACTGGAGCTCTAAACAAAATCGGATAATTTAGCCAAACTGGCAAGAATGAAGTCGATGAATGTATGAATTGACGCAATTTTTTCTGTTCTTAAGTTGAGCTATCCGTATAATCATATTCGTATTTGAGCATCTCAAAAAACTACCAGGTCCATTCAACAAGCTTCTATTTTTCCCATTGATTTAAAAAGTGCTCATTTTGTTCTCCTGTGAATTTTGACAAATTTTGCTCTACGAGACCCCAAAGCCAAATCTAGCAACACTATAAAATCGTTGTTTTTAAAGAAATTTCCTATCAATAAAATCTTACTATCACCAGCTGGTAAAATCATTAAATCATACAATAAAGAAATAACCCTCTTCTTCTCGTAAAATAAGCCTTTAAAATCGAAAGGGCCGAGAGGAGAGAAAATGAATCGAAATTTGTGATTACAAAAAGAAGAGCAGAGCCGAGAAAAATATTTTAAGTCGCATTTTACAATCACGTTTCTCACGTTGGCGTAAAATGGTTTTTTATCGCGAAGAAAGATGTTTCAAAAAACGATGGTTCTTAGTGTATTCTTAAGATTTGACTTTGGGGTCTTGCGGGGCAACAATTTACGAGAATTGCAGCTTTCAGTCGCACCAAAAATAAAGGACGAGAAAAACGCCGCATTTAAAATATTTTAATCGAATGTCCCACGTTTCGCCCGGCACATATTTGGCCTCTCTCAAATTTAGTGGCTCATTTCACCTCTCACACATTTCACCCCTAATACTATCACACATTTCGTACGCGCACGTTTCGTCCCCAACTTATTACACAGTTGATTAACCGCCGCTTTCTTAATGTACAATTTGAGGGGTGAAATGTGTGTGGGGCGAAATTGGCCAATAATTTCATTTGGGGCGAAATATGCCAATAGTTTCATTTAGGGCGAAATGTGCCAATAATTTCATTTGGGGCAAAATGTGTGAATACCATTTTAAGCCGTATAAATATTTCTAATTCGTACCTCTACACTTCTCGGCCACTTTCTCCAGCTGTTCTTTATTTCTAGAAGACAACACAACAGTGGAGCCACACTTGCTCATCTCGTAGGCCAACTTCTCCCCAATCCCACCTGACGCTCCAGTGATCCACACCACACAGTTGCGCAGATCACTGCTCTCTGCAAACATACATTTTGGAATAGCTTGGAAAAATTTAGCCTTGGTTTCTTCAGAAAGGCCAGTAGCGTGCACTAAATTTTTTTTCTAGCGGGGAGAGGGGTGGTTTTTGAAAAAAAAAAACAGGCTGAAATTGAAATTTTTGACCCTTTTGAAAATTTGGCAACCAGAATTGAGACTTGTGGCTATGCTTTTCTTATCAGTAAAAAAACGTAGCTTAACTGTAAAAACGGAGCAATAGTTTCCTTGCCTGGTTTGGTGCCGAAAATCTCGAGAAGCTTTGTGGATATGTCGCAGTCTATGAACAAGAGAGTGAGAAAACAGGCGAATAGGAACATAGACAGGAGAGGGGAGCAGAAGAGAAGGAAGAACAGGAGGGGCACACTCGCCACTTGCAGAGTCCTGAAAGAAACAATGATGTTGTTGTTGCTATGTTTTTGTTGTTGTTATAGTTGCTGTTGTTGTTTTTGTTTCTTGTGGATCTCTTCATACAACGGTGGGTTATGATGTCGTTGTTGCTATTAGCAGGGGATCAATAAGTCCCCCTTCCTGTGGTGGACCAGACGCGCGACGAAAGTCGCAGAAAATCGCACCGAAACAGCCTCCCGTATTTGAGAGCACAGAAAGCAATGAGAAGACCTTTTAAGAACTTTTAATAGAACCGTTAATAGAACTTTAATGGAACTTTTAAGAAACAACTCTCCCAAACCCCATATATAATTTTTCATAAATCGCGCATTACGCTTAAAATTATGTGAAAAATTTAGAACAGACCAGTAGTTTTTGAAAACTCAACAATGATAGTTTTGCTCAAAAGTTAAGCAGACGCCTTGCTTATGCCACTGATAAAGTTAAATAAAATAACCTGTACGAAAGGGTCATTTTGTAGATCCAGCAAAATATCCTAGTCCAGTCCAGATCGATCAGAACATTGAAATTAATCTGAAAGAGACTCGTAATGAATTTTGTTTCAATGATAAAAACATACTTCAATAGCAGTATGAGTAATCACATGCCATGCAAACGGCTCGGAAGGTTCTGAGCACAATTACAATTTTGGAAGCAAAAATCGAAAAAAAAATTAATGAAAATTTTTGGGGAAGATGGATACGTTAAACGTAAAACACTTCTTCACAACTAACTAAATAAAATCACGAAAAAATGTCCATGTAAACAAACTGATTAAAATTGTTTTGAACACCAAAAATGAAAAACGCATTTGAACCATTCGCAGTCCATTATCAGGGCTGTTCCAAGAAAAAGTGAAGACATCGTTTTCTATCAACACTCAAGGCCGCCAAAGTAATTTTTGACAGCGATCATTCTAACAGGAAACCATGGCACCGTCACTATACTAGCATAAGCAAAACTCAAGAAATAACGAAAAATGAATCAGCTACGTTTCATCTTTAAAACTACTGTGTTGAAATAACACCAGCCTTATTTTACTACACGGAGGGTAAACGGTAGTTTGCACCCAGTGCGATACAAAGCAACTTCTCAAAAACTGAACAACAAAAAACTTATAAGAAAAGCTTATAAAAAGCAGTTCTCACACTAGCCAACTAAAAGTTGGAAATGAGTAAAGAACGCAAGTACATCGAAAAAAACACTGACTTTGTTGAAAAAAATCTCAATTTTCGGTATTCAAAGAAAAAATAGATGCCCTTTAAGCTCTTAGATCAATTTATGATTGGCGCTTTTTTGATAACAACTTGAAAAAACTGGATCAATAGGTAAAACTTTTATTGCGCTGGAAATCTACAAATTAAATTCCACTTTCGAAACAAGAAATTTTTCACGTTTTTTTGCGCTATTTCGACATTCGTATTAGGAGAGTGCTATTTACGCATTTTTCAGCAGATGAATTTCAGTTGATCTCAAAAAGTGATTTATACCTAAGTGCATTCATAAATGCATTAATATATTTGAATGCACATCTGTATTTATTAGAGCATTTTAAGACTTTATCATTGAAAAAAAAAATCACCGAGACCTATATAAGAGTCTTCACTATGTTCATTACTCTTAAGAAGTATTTCAATTCAGGCCAATTATTCAAGATACAGGCAGTTTGTTAGATTCCTCTGGTAAAACTTGATATCAGACAAACCAATGTTTTGATTCATTTAGAACAGAAACTGCATTCATCGCGTTTTTACAAGAAAAAAATCAACTTATTTGAAAAAATTAGCTGAAATTTTCGTCTGCATGGAAAATTTTAATGACTAAACAAGAATTTTCCCAACTCTAGGCAGTTTCACAACAAATTCGGCAGTTATCTTGGTAAATGAAAGCAATTTTCTCAAAATATTACAAGCATTTGGCCAGCCACAAAACGTCCCCTCGCATGACTAAAAGATTAAAATATGAGAGAAAATAAAAATTCCTTCAAAAAAGTGGTCTGAAAATTCTCAAATATACCAAAAAACCATTGCTACACTTGGAACAAAATTAACTAGAAAGTTCCATACAATTACCATAACAAAGCATTTGAAGATTGACAAAGATATTACTTATGGTGGAATCCCTCATAGGCGAAGGACCGAATGGACGAAACCATCAGCCAATCAGATTTCAGTATTCCACAATTTGGAAAAAAAGCGTGAAAATCTCAAAGAAAGTAAACATTTCCAGGTTTACTTATTACATTAATCACCAGCGGATTGGGAAGGAGGCGGACGCCCACCCCACCCTCGGGAACTCGACCCCCTGCTGACTCAAAGTATTATTTTGAAAAGTTCATTTTTGGTGATGGACCCAAAAATTTTTCTAAATGCCAATTTTGAGGGAAGCGCGCGCCGAAAAAAAGGAATTTTTTGGTCAGAATTTTTCAAAAATTGCTTTGAACGCCTTTTGAACAGTTTTTTTTTCAAAATTTTGGCTGCGGCGCAGAAAATTTGGTCAAAATGGGGTCTTTATAATGATTTAAGAGAGCTCAAAAAATCAAATTGGTCGACCTAAAAAAATGTCGACAAAATTTTCAACTTTTTGAAAATCCGCCCCCCTTAAGAAAAACCTAGATCTGCCCCTAATATTAATATTGGCCGAATATAAAAACGGCAAAACTATGCAAAACTTTCAAATTGTCAGACCGCCCGCAAGTTGGAATAAATTTTATGTTTCGAGGGTTTTGTTATAAAATAAGCAAAAAACTGCTTCATTTAATTCCTTTTAATTGACTTTCGACTGTTTTGTTTTCGGTACTCCGCCAATTCGGTCCTTTGTCCATGACAATAGCCACCATTACTGATATCTAATTAGAATTATGATGCAAGTTTCTAAAAACTACCTCTAAGAACTAAGACGAAAAAAAATATTGAATCCAGCCATTCAGCCGCAAAAAACTGACATCTAGATCAAAAAAATTTTTGATGCTTATTGTTCGAGGTCATAAAACCAAATGTATGAAGTTATATTTGGTGCTCAAAATTGAATTTTTTAAATACTGAAAGACTTATTGGAATAAAACACAGAAGGTACGCGAAAAAACATTCAGACCAAACCCAAACAACCGACAAACAAATCCGATTAGTCAAGAAACATTAGAAAAAGCATTTGCATGAGAAAAAACAACCATCTTACCTTATCACGACAATTTTCAGTCAACCTGTGACAAATTGCTTAACGGAACACTTGAATTCAAAAATCCGGATCAATCCAAACTTGTTTTCATCTGAACATTTGAAAGTAACTTTGAAAACGTGCAATTTTTGCTCTAATTTTAGTTTCTTCCCCAGAAAGCGATACTTCTCAGATTAGCTAGCAGAAATTATTTGAAAACCAATGACAAAAAGCGACTGCCAAAAAATAGGATTAAACGAGATAAATATTCACACCAAAAAGAACCACTCTTACGAAAACAAAATTTAAAATTTTGGTTTTGTTAAATTGCGAGTGAAGATCAATTTCCGTTCCAAGAATTAGTTTACTAGCGCAGATTAAAAAAAAAAAGAACGATGCTAAACCAATTTTGGACATCTTTTTGCCATATACTTCATCCCGAAATATACTAAAAACTCTCACCTGCTTTTCTCGCAACGGAGTAGTTTTCTTTAAAACTTCAACTAATTTGCGACTGAAAAGCTCAAAACTGATCTGATACCATCGATTCCTTGCGAACTTACTTGAGGCATCTGAAGGAGGTGGAAAATTTGACCGCAATTTCAGCTTATATTATGGAATAGGTGGATGCAACAACAGTTAAAACACAAGTTATCTGACTGTTATCGCCATTATCACTCACCAATCATTAATACAAAATCGAAAAGAATGTTCTAATCTGTTATTAATACAAGTAGTAAAAAATCAAACTATTTTCGAAAAATGGAAACTTTCTTCGTCGAGTATTTCAGGAGAGTTATTTTAAACTCATGCTCAAAACATGGGCAACACACAGTAAAAAGTGTTGACGTAACAGGGAAAAAATCAGGGCAAAGAATATGCCACCTCATAGCTCTTTCAACTTCTAAAATCTTCAACACTTGACACTTTAATACGCTAATTACACAGATACGAAGCGTAACTTGGCTAAAACTTCAATGAAACTAAAGTATAGCATTACAGCTTATCGACACAAAAGCAAAGATGGACTTCGCATACACAAGCGAAAAAGCGACAAAGAGTAGCTCTTCCAAAATCAAACACTAAAAAATGAAACAAAACAAAAACTATGAAAAGAAAAACTCGCTACAACTGTAGATATTCCAGAATCTAACCACCAATCTCGAGATTAATAATCATCCGTCCTAGCTTCTACTCCATGCGCACTTGAAAATTCTCAAACACTATACACCAAAAAACCATATGCAAAAATCAAATGTTATTGCAGCAAATAAAAACCAGACTAGGGGTCCAAACACAGCTGGAGGTAAATGTTTTATAACTTTAAATGAGCTGACGCTTATAAGTAAATTTCAAAATGCCAAAAAAGTTCTTGGCTGATTATTTATCAAATTTACTAAGAAAAAGTTTTTTCGAGGGAGATCAGTAGAATATCCCATTTTGATTATTTCTTAACCTCTAAACTGGCATGGTGGTTTTGGATAAATTGAGCGAAGTCCACAAAATGAGACAAAACGTTATTTATTCGATGTTTACCAGATCCATAGCGAATTCCTCGTCAGAATTAGTAGAATCAGTCTTTGCACTGGACTCCTAATTCTTGTTCGTTCCATTGAAACCTCAATGGCAAAATTGTCACGATAGTTTTCGAGAAAATCAAAACTATCACTATTACGAAAAACGAAATGTTTTAGGTCCAAAAATCATGGCCTCTGTTCGTTTAATTTAACTCCTAATTTGAGATACAACTATTTAATTTCCGAGGTTTCCAAAAAAACGGGCAAAAAGTGGAATTTGTATAAAAATGGAATTTAATGTGGCCGTTAATTCAAAAATGAATGAAAAGGTCAAATAATGGATGTTTTAATTCCATAGCTGATTGGTAAATTCCGTTGATGCAGGGGATATCCCTAAAACTTGTTCTGCAATTGCAACTTCAATCTCAGATTTGGCTCACCATTTCAAAACGAAGACTTTCTAAAACAAATAGATTTTATACAGAAAAGTATAAGCCAGCAAATAGAAGAGCAGATTTGGCAGGGTAGTTTCCCACAAAAGTTTTCGAGAAATGGTAAAAATTATAAAAGGATTCTCTTAAATCAACAAGTTTTCTCCAAATATTACGTGCAAAGCGGCTTATGCAGAACAAAATTCTGCTACCTTTTTTTAATGAACTCTCAATTTGAAATTTGGCAGAGTACTTCGAAACAATTATCAAAACTCAGTCAATTTATATTTGTATAACTTTATTCTACAAAAATAAGGACCTAGCCACTTTCAAGCGTGGAGGAGTCCTGACACCAATTTTTCAGATTGAACTCTTGATCTCGGATTTAAAGAGGATAGTTTTCGAGAAAAAGAAAATATTTTCGAAGAAACGATCAACAGTTAAAA